TCTGGGAATCCTCCTGGATATGCAGTTGTCCTTGGAGGAACATCTGACGGCTGTGACCAGGGGGACCTTTTGTCAGGTTTGCCTGATTCGCCAGTTGCGGCCCTTTCTTGATCGGGATTCCCTGTGCACAGTCACTCATGCCCTCGTCACCTCTCGCCTTGACTACTGCAACGCTCTCTATATGGGGCTCCCCTTGAAGAGCACCCGGAGGCTCCAGCTGGTCCAGAACGCAGCAGCGCGGGCGCTCCCATGTAACACCGCTCCTGCGTGAGCTGCACTGGCTCCCGGTGGTCTTCCGGGTGCGCTTCAAGGTGTTGGTTATCACCTTTAAAGTGCTCCATGGCATAGGGCCTAGCTATCTTCGAGACTGCCTGCTGCCACCGACGACCTCCCATCGATCTGTGCGCTCCCACAGAGAGGGCCTCCTCGGGGTGCCATCAGCCAAACAGTGCAGGCTGGTGACCCCCAGGGGGAGGCCTCCTCGGGGTGCCATCAGCCAAACAGTGCAGGCTGGTGACCCCCAGGGGGAGGGCCTTCTCTGTGGGGGCACCTACCCTCTGGAATCAATTGCCTCCAGAGATAAGGAGAATCCAAGACCTCAGTGCCTTCTGCCGTGCCCTTAAACCTTCCTTTTCCAGCAAGCCGGGCTGGCCTAATTTTTTAAGTGTTTTTAAGTGTTTTGTTTATCGTTTTTAATTAATGAGGCCAAATTTATATATACTTTTAATTGTATTTTAATATTTGTATTTGATGTTTCACCGCCCTGAGTCCTCAGGGAGAAGGGCAGTATACAAATTCTAAATAAATAAATAAATAAATAAATAATAAATAAATAAATAATAAATAACAGATGAACAAAGAGAAATGCTAAACAGGCCAATAACTAAGATGGAATTGGAGTCTGCACTGAAAAAGCAAAAAAATAACAAAACACCGGGGCCAGATGGGCTACCGGTGGAATTATATAAAACTGTACAGGAAACAATAGGAGAAACTATGTTAGAGGTATATAACGAGGCTCTGGAGAAGACAAAAATCCCGTTAACCTGGACGGAGGCAATAATCACAATCATACCCAAAGTGGACACAGATCATCAATTAATTCAAAATTATAGACCAATATCCTTATTGAACACAGATTATAAAGTATTTGCAATAATTATAGCGGAAAGAATCAAAAAAGTATTGAATAATTATATTCATCTGGACCAAAATGGATTTCTGCCGGGCCGCCAAATTAAGAACAATATGAGAATAATAATAAATGCACTTGAATATTACGAAGCACTTCCGGAGAAACAAGCTTCATTGGTTTTCCTTGATGCCCAAAAAGCATTTGACAACCTAAATTGGAAATTTTTAAAGGGGCAATTAAAGAGTATGCAATTCGGAACAAAATTTGAAAAAAACATAGGAGAAATTTACACAAAACAAATAGCAAGAGTAATTTTGAATGCGACACGACAGACCAATTCGATATAACAAAAGGAGTTAGACAAGGCTGCCCACTGTCTCCATTATTGTACATCTTAACACTGGAGATCTTGTTAAAAAAAATTAGGGAAGACCAAAAAATTAAAGGGTTAAAAATAAGACAAGAAGAATACAAGGTTCAGGCTTTTGCCGATGACCTTGTATTTATAGCAGAGGAACCATTAGAAGTAGCACCAAAATTGTTTAAGAAAATAGAGGAATTTGGAGAGGTGGCTGGACTAAAAATAAATTGAAATTAATTGAAATTAATAGTAAAAAATCTTATGAAGAATCAAGAAAAGGAATTGGAGAATAGTACACAAATTCAAATAACGAAGAAAATAAAATACTTAGGGATCTGGCTGTCACCAAGAAGCTCGTCAATAAAAGAAAACAATTATGACAAATTAATAATACAGATAAAGAAAGATTTGGATAATTGGAGAAACCTACAGATTTCACTAATGGGAGGAATCTCCACTATTAAAATGAACATCTTATCAAAACTATTATATTTATTTCAGGTCGCTCCAATAAAATTAGAGAATTTTTTTTTTTGAAACATTGAATAAGATAATGTCCAAATTCATATGGCAGGGGAAGCAACCACGAATTAAACTTAAGCTACTCCAAGATACAAAAGATAGAGGAGGAACAGCACTCCCGGATTGGGAACTCTATTATCAAGCGGCGGTGTTATGGGTAAAGGATTGGATGGAATTAAAAAACAGCAGGATATTAACTATCGAATGCCACGAACTACAAGCGGGCTGGCACTCCTTTCTATGGGATGAAAGATATAAAACACATATCTATTTTAAAAGACACACAATTAGGAATACAATACTACCAATCTGGCTAAAAATTAAAAAACAACAGTATACAAAAATTCCGATTTGGCTATCACCATCAGAAGCGGTAAGGCACCCAAACTTAACAGAACCTAAAAATATAATTAGATACAAAGACTTAATTGATCATCAAGGGAAACTGAAAACCAAACAACAATTAGAAATAGACCTAAATAGAGAAATCGACTGGTGGACTTTCACACAGATCCAATCTAAACACAAGGAACACATAAAAATATATGAAATTTACAGAGAGAAACAAGAACTAGATAAAATTATATTAGACGCAGAAGAAAAATTAATTAGTAAAATTTATAAATTTCTACTGCGATACAAGATGGAGGAGGAAATAGTGAAGAGTACGATGATCAAATGGATGCAAAATTTTAATCATACAATAGACTTGGAGAAGTGGGAAGAACTATGGCAAATGAATTCAAAATTAACATTAGTGGTGGCATATAAGGAAAACCAGCTGAAGATGTTTTATAGGTGGCATATGTCGCCTACGAGACTGGCAAAAATCCATCCGAAAAACAGTTCATTATGTTGGAAATGTAAAAAATCACAAGGTACCTTTTACCATCTATGGTGGATGTGCCCGGCAACAAAGAAATTTTGGTTTAACATTAAGAAATGGTTGGAACAAATAATAAAGTTACAAATAGAGAAGAAACCAGAAACTTTCCTGCTAGGAATCTTCACAAAAATATATCCTAAAGATATAAAATACCTGATGATACATATCCTAATGGCAGCTCGGATAACGTACGCAAAAAAATGGAAACAGGAAAAAATCCCAACGGACGAAGAGTTAATAGATAAAATTGTGCAGTGCGCTGAAATGGATAGACTAACAAAAGAGATTAAGGAAAAAGAAGAGACAGAGTACTACAGAATATGGGACAAATGGTACCAATGGTATAACGCCACTACTAAAGATACATAGATACAAGAAGGATAGAATAAAGATGTAAATATGTATATAAATAATTTCTTATGGGCAAATAAACATGAACAGGGAAATCCAAAAACAACGGTATAATCCAAATATAAAGATTGCTAAAGGGGGAATCCTAAGGGGGGGGAGAAGGGGGGGTGAAAAACTACTAGGCTCAGAATAAGGGGAATAATCACAACCGTATTAGTTGAAGAACCACTGTGAAATATTGCTTTAAAAGAAAAATTTACTTATATGTTGTATGTTTTGTAAATGTTTTTATATGTGTTTTATATGTGTTTTAATAAAGTTTATAAAAAAATTTGTAAAAAAAACATTTTTTTTTTAAAATTTGATTTATATGCCGCCCTTCTCCGGAGACTCAGGGCTGCTTACAATGCGTTAAGCAATAGCCTTCATACTTTTGTATATTTATACAAAGTCAGCTTATTGCCCCCACAAACTGAGTCCTCAATCTACCCATCTTAGAAAGGATGGAAGGCTGAGTCTACCTTGAGCCTGGGGAGAATTGAACTCGCAGTAATTGCAGGCAGCTGGATGTTAAATGCTGCCTTAGGAGGCATTAGCCTCCTACGCCACTCAGGCTACAAATCGTTTAAGCAATTTTTCTGTTATTTTATTCCCTTATGGTCTAGCAGTTAAAATAATTGCTCATTTGCTTTCATTATTTTTTAAAAGAAATTTGTTCATATTTATAGATTTTGTTTCTTGGTGTGTGGGAATTCTGGATAGATGTTTCAGTGACAGGCTTACTTGGGGAAAGGACATTTAGTCTTTTAATTTTGCATTCTGAGGAAAAAAAGTTTCAAATAATTCACAGACACCACTTTAGCATATTAATTCATAAATCATATTTTGCTTATTTAGATTCTGTATCTAATTCTTTATTTTCTAAATTTTCCTTAATCGAGGAATCCCCAATCCCCATACCCAATTAATGGAGTTCCATGTGGATTTGGTTTCCTTGCTTTGCTGCTAAGGCTTTGACACATGGATTTCAGTTTGCGTTCTTGACATTCATATGTGCACACGCACATATTAACATGTAGTCTCCTAACTTTTAACTTACTTACTTTAGCACAAAAACTTACTTATTCATGGATGCTGAATTCTCAAAGTGATATTCCTAAATATTTTTTTTCTTTCAATTTCCCCAATATTGGAATACTGTGAAATAATATTCTAGTACTCAACCAGAAGGTTGAAAGTCTGAGACGGGGAGAGCTCCCATTCTTCCTCTAGCTCCTGCCAATCTAACAATTCCAAAGCATGCAAATGCAACTCGATAAATAGGTAGCACTTTGGTAGGAAGGTAATGGCATTCTGTGCACTTCGGTGTATGTTGGCCACTTGACCACGGAAGCCTTTTTAGACAATGCTCCCTTGGCTAAGAAACTGAGATGAGTACCGCCCTCTAGAGTCAGACATGGCTGGACAGGGGAAACTTTTACTTCCTCCCCCTCTTTTTTTTTTTTTGGGTGGAGAACACCATCTTGATAACTATAGCTGATTGACTGAAAAGCTTTTAGTGGATTCTTGGCAAACTTCTCTAATTTTGATTTTTTTTTTTTCTTTGTGAATTCATGTCATAGTGATTCCTAATTTTCTTCGTCCTTAAAGTTAGCAATATTTTAATAGCTCTTATTTATTGTGATTTTATGACACTGTTAAACTTGCAAACAATACTGAATACCACCCAATATTTTTCATTATAGTGCCCGAAGCGACAAAAACAAGTTTAAGCCAACCAGTGACCGCCAGCCCAATTGGCAGCTCTCCATCGCCACCTATAAATGGTGGCAATAATGCCAAAAGGGTGGCAGTGCCGAATGGTCAACCGCCAAGCGCTGCCCGCTACATGCCTCGGGAGGTGCCGCCGCGATTTCGTTGCCAGCAGGACCACAAAGTGTTATTGAAACGTGGACAGCCCCCTCCGCCATCTTGTATGCTCCTTGGAAGTGGAGTAGGGCCTACTTCCTCTCCAGCACCTGGAGCAAATCCAAACAACGCACAACCAGTAACAGGAGTGCTACTGCCATGTGACAGTGGGACTGCAACCGGTATGAAACCATTAGCATTCTGCTTAGTATTTTGCTGTCTGCTGTCATATATTTGTGTATTTTGAATTTAGAAATTGATTTTTTATTTACTCATTTATATCCTGAAATCTCTGGCAACCTTTGAAGGAGAATCACAGTCATTGGTAATAAGGCAGATTACAAATCAAATAAATATTGCAATAAATATTTTTTAGAAAGTTTTTACTTTAATTATTCACATAAAACTAGGTAAGTAGTTTTTTTATAAAAACAGATTACATTTTTTTCCAGCATATTTCCTTTGAGGGAAGTGAAAAAAACATTCTAATTTCAAACTATTCTGATTTCAGGTCAGAGATTTGGAATCTTCTGAACCTGAAAATATGAATATTAGTTCATATGAATTCAGAAATAACCTGATACTAGATCAGGTTGTTATCAGAACCAATGAACATATTAAAGTTATCACATGCCCAGAAGTTTGTTTTTAGCAAGAGAAAGAACCATAATGAAATTGAACATTCTATAGTGAAATAAACTTGCATGTTGATACAGCGCAGTCACTAGAATTTGTAATGCTGTCATAGTTTTTAAGTGAAAACACAAGAACATTTTTGTTTCCAGCATGAAACAAAATGTTTCTTTTTCAAGCTGTCTCACAGAGTGCCTGCGGCATTGTATTTAAATTGTTTTGCAACATATGATTGGAAATCAAATAAATAAGATAAATAAATGTGATTGGACATTTTTTTCGTCCAAATCTCTCCTGCCTAGCCAGCACAGCAGTAAGGTCCAGTCTTCACTGCTGATGGCTAGGCCAGATGAGATGATGTGAATATTGAGAAGAAACAAGCACTGAACATATCCAAATGGAATATGAAAGGTTGAAGTTGCATTAGCCTGCCTCCAAAGTTATAGTTGCTTCTTGTTTTTTAATTATTGCTGAGAAGTTAAAATAGGTAAGTTTTATATATGTACCTGCTTCATTTTGCATGTAAGTCTTGTAAAGGAAAGTATATGAATTACTTTGCTTCAGAGTCACATAACTGTATTAACTGTAAATATAAAGACAGTCAGATCCAACATGAGACCTAAAGAACATAATTTTTCTTAAGACTTTCTGCGAGAAACTGCTTTGAATACTTATATATTCCTAGTTGTGCTATCAGTGATAGCATCTAATCACTTTATCTTTTATCAGCCTTTACCATTAATGACCTTTGATTTTTATTTTTATTTTTATTTTTTTAAGCATCAGGATCTTCCCCAATGACTCTTTCTCATGTGTCCAAACTAAATTTTAGCTGCACTATTAGGGCTATTGTGACTTCCAGTTTTACTTCATCTAGCATTGAATTATTTGCTTTTCTTATGGTTCATGGGGCTCAGGTCAATTTTCTTCCAACATTGAAATTCAAAGGCATCAGTTTTCCTTTGTTCAGCCATTCTTATGGTCCCATTTTCATAGCTATATATTACCACTAAGATGTAACTAGTAACATGTGCCTCTATTTTATAGCTTCAGTCATGAATTTTTGAACCTAGGAAAATAATCTACTATATTTATGTGTATTTGTTTAGATTGGCATTGCCTATTGTTTTAACCTTAGTTTCTATTAATATTGAGCAATAGTATACTACTACTGTAATATCTCTTTCACCTTCCACAAGGGATTCCTTAGGTTTTCCTTGATTTCAGCTGTCAAGGTGATGTATTCTGCATATAAATTAACCTTGGCAACTCCTCTCCCAATTTTGAACCATTGAATTGTTCCATATTCTGTTCTAACTGTTGTTTCCTTGGTCATCATACAACAAGTACCTGAGTAACCTGGCATTTCCTTGTTTTGAAAAGGTAGGCCATGCAATAGTTCAAAGGGCAGGCCATAGTCCACATAATCAGTAACTCTAGTATAATCAAGTAAACAAATAATTGCTATCTTTTGAAAGTCAGTGATTTGTGTTATTATTTCTTGCTTTTAAAATTATAAAAACTCCTTCGTCTTTCCCATTATCCATCAGATGTTAGCAATGTAACCTTGGGTACCCGTGCTTCTTCTGGGTCAAATTGTATGTCTGTCAGTTCTTGTTCAATGTATTATTCAGTTTTGGATTTCATGCTTTTACTAGCATGTGAGATACATACAATAAATGTTTCTACATGTAGTAACACTGGAAAGTGATTGTCTTAAACTGAGGAATAACTTCATAACAGCCTGTAAAATGGAATATATTTCCAGTGAAAATTATTTAATTTTATTTAAATTATTTAATTTTCAGTCATTTGACCAGTCCAAAAGATGAATTCCGAAGGGTTATTTTTTTTATTTTTGGGGGGGGGGGCTTTAGAATATAGACTTAAGTCTGTTAGCTGTTTGAGCCAAATAGCCCTGTGTAGTTTGGTTTACTATAAAGGCTTGCAAAGGGGAATGCATCTTCTTTAGTTTGGTGACACCACTGATAGCATATGAATATTATAATACCTTAATTTGGTATTAAAATAATAAGTTATTACAGCATGAACATTGGAGAATGTAGTAGGAAGTTTAAATATAAAGCTTTTCAGTTCAGACCATAGTTTTATGACCTGAAATTTCTATCTTGACAGGGTAGGCAGTCACTAATAGCTTGTATGGTGCAATTTATAAAGCAGTCTGTCATAGCTACGTATAGCAAGTTGCTTAAAGGAGCAAAGGCTTCCTGGCATTAAACACAAAGTGGTAGCAACTAATGCATCCAGTACAACTTTGGGTCTACTCCTTTTGGCATCAACATCTTGTACCCAGAGAGTATGAGCTGAAGCCACTGAGTGTTAAATCTTTGGATATCCAGACTTCTTAAAGCATTATAACATCTAGAATGAGTTCTACAAAAGGTTGATTTTACTATATATTGACCATTGAAATGTTAATTTATGTTTTATTAACAGGGTGATGTAGAGGTTCCCAACGGGGTATTTTGAGTGATTGCTGCCACAGAATTAAGAGTACACATCCTACATGCACACTGTTTATTTCCCCACATCAGTTATTTTGATAGTATGCTAAATAGTATGCTAAAAATTATGTTTGGCTATCTGTATTCTTACTGAACAAATGATATAAACATGCATGCTCTGATTTATATTGATGGATTATATAACAATATTTTTTATATAGTTGTCAGATTTATCTGCTGCCTATCTCGCCATTGGGCTACTCTAGGCAGTTTACAACAGTGGTCCCCAACCTTTCCGGCTTTGCAGTCTGATGGGGGGAGGGAATGGTTCTGTGTGAGCGTTGTGTAAGCCATTAGTACAAATGGAGCTGTGCATGCTGTCCCACCACTTGCGCAGCCCGGGGGTTGGGGACCCCAGCTTACAATAATAAAAATGAAGAAAAATGAAAAGTGTAAACAGAACAGAAGTAAAATAATAAAACAATAAAATAAACAAATGACAAAGCAACACAATGAGAATAATACATCAAAATGGTAACCAGAAAGCTAGGGGGGCTGGAGAGCAGTTAGCAATATAATACAATGATCAAGAACTCGACATTTTTGGTAATCCTTGTATCTAAAAATGTCCTAGAAGAGGATAGTACTTTTATCAATCTCCTGTGTTCTCTTCTGTGCACCAAAACTTTTTTTTTCTCAAAATTTCTCTATTGGTGTTTCATTTTTATAGGTGTGAGATCTGAGTAAATTAACCACAGCTAAACAACCCTGCTTTGCTGCCTTTTTTGCTCATATTGCATTGTCAGGTGTTCATAAGTCAAGTTTATCACAAAAAGATGTTTGTACCTCCAATAATTTCTTTGACAATAGGTCGTTTCTACTTCATATACAGCAGCCCCAAGGAATCCAGAAAGCCATGATGCTGCTGCTCTTGAGTACTCTCTGTGATGATTCTGAAGTCTAATGTGACTGTAAATTTAAAATCCTGTTCAGTATCTTCAACATTTCTAGTATAGAGCTTGAAATCTTAGGATTGTCTGATCAACCACTAGCTGGATACCATGCTTATAAATATGAAAAGTCTTCAAAGCACTTCTGACCAGGTGTGGAGGAGAAGCAGTTCTGAAGTGACACTGGTAACTCACATTGTTAGTTTTATCAGAACTGAAATCAGACTATTTTGCAGTATCAAACCATATCTGCCTCAGTATAAAATATTTATTTACATTCCACACTCCTCCTCTTTGCTCACCAATTTCAACAAACCATAGTGAGTCTTTTTAGCACATGGAAGTACAATTGGGAATCCATTTCTGAAGTAGTTTACCATTCTAATGCCATCCATCTCTTTCCCAGTTATTAGTATCATGACCTTGTCTTAAGAATCTTCCGTGGATGAAGAAGAGAAGCAGGAAGAAGGTTTATCAAAATGCCAACTCTTTGCTGTGGGATCTCAGCAAAGTGTATGTGGTACCAGGATTTAGCAAAGGCATTGAGACAACAGCTTTTATCATTCCCATCCAAAGTAACAGTAGATTGACCAAGATCTTCTTCCTAGTTGTGAAGCATTCAGGCACCTAAGGAAGAAAAAAGTGAATTCTATGCCTGGCAGTAGTAATCTCTGAAAAAAAGCCAAATCGGATCATGGCCATCCATATTACAGCAAATGCAGAAGCTCCCTGGACTCAACAGTAATGCCATTTATGAAGGTCTTATGACAATTTCTACTAAGAGTTTCTTTGCTGCTAGACAGCTTCCTAGACTTGGTTCATATTTGGATTAGCTTTTTTGTTGATTGTTCTTATATGGCATCTGCCAAGTAAGAAAGCCTTAAATATATACAAAATAGTTCAATTTTATTCATAACCTAGGGTTAGACCTAATGTAATCATCATTTTTTAAACTGTTAGAATTAAGATGAAGCCATTTGTAAGGCTTGGGCATTCAGAAACAGGTGCTATTCCGGTTGAGGTATTCTGAAACTGCTATACTATACAAACACCACCCATTGGTATCATTGCCAATAATAAATTGGTATTTATCTATGTAAACAAATAAACAGAATGGCCACAGACAGGCAAAAAAAAAAAAAACCAACAGTGGGTACAGGAGTGTCTTCTGACTTCCTGCCAACTGTCCCATTGACTTTGCTTGTGGGAAGCTGGCAGGGAACATCAGAAATCACAAACACATAACTGCAGGGACACTGGAGCCACAACTTTGGAAATAAATGTTGTCTGAAGATCTTTGAAATTCCAATTCCACAGGAGTAATGGGTCCCATTACTCCTGTGGAACAGATTTTTCACATGTCTTTAAGTTAGAGGATTTAAGACACCCTGATTCAAAAATCGGTGGGCTCTGATGCACTGTTTGGATTAATTAAAGGTACAGACTGACAATGAGTGTTTTAGTGGTGCATAGATATTATAGTCTTCCATTCACCTGTTCGCTTTCACAGATTTAAGCCAATAAAAATAAAATAGAAATTTTCTTCCTTATGGTAAGTAAGATGCATTGTATTCCAGATTGCTTTTCTCCAATGGAATGTTTGATTTCCTTCTTAGCACTTTGATCATTTCCAGGCTAAGTATTATTTCAGAATCAAACATAAAATATTAGTAGCCAATTCTCATGCTGTAAGTGATCTACTTTCTCAAAAATCCCATAGGCAGTATGGTTCTACCATCAGACTTAGACTTTACAGCTGTTTATAGCTGAAGCTGACAAGGCAAGAGCCAACCATTCTTGGGCCAGTCAGAACTGTTAAATAAGCATTGAACAGATCTTTTTCTAGTTATTTTCAAAACAGGACTTGGGAATTAATCACATTTTAAACACTTCATTTTCATTGCATTCAATTTAGGTTTCTCTTCACATAGTACTGATTTCCAGATAATGAACAGAATCATGTATTTTTAATTCATTTTTATTTTATTTATTTGTGGTCCTGCCTTTTATTATTTTTACAAATAACTCAAGGCAGCGAACATATTCAACACACTTCCCTCATAGCAAAACCCCCTTGTGTTGAGTTGGGCTGAGAAAAATTGATTGGCCCAAAGTCACCCAACCAGCTTTCATGGCTAAGGCAGGATGTGAACTCCTCCCACTTTCTAGCCTGGTACCTTACTTTTTTCTTTTGGTTGTAGGTCCACTGCAAAAGGAGGCCATATGCATATTTCAGAATTTTGAACAGTTAACATCTGCAGCCTTATTATTTTTCAACATTCTCACAAGTGGGATTATTTCCTTTTCATCAATTCGTTCTTGGACACTAATATTTACAGGTAGCTTTCATCTTATAACCATAATGAGGCCTTCCCATTATGGTCATAAGTTTTGATGTCAAAAGTGGATCATCCTTGTTACCGACTTAATTTTATGAGCTTTTTGAAGCTGTAGTTCAACAAATCATCATAGTCCTTAAACATATCCATGATCATTAAGCAAACTCATTGTTTTCTATGGGGCATTTTGATGGAAACTGGAAGTAAATGCCAAGTTTGGGCAAAAGGGCTGTAAATCACAGTCATGTGACCAGTTATAACTCAAGGACCACCTGTATAGCATTCTTCCATTCCCTCACTTCAGCTTCCTTTCAAATAATTTCATGAGTTTTATTTTTAATTCTGTTCATTTTGTTGGAGGTTATTTATTTTAGATTCATTTTCCAAACAGTTTTTTAAAATTTTTGTAAACATTGCTTGGCATAGTCTCCTGATTTTTCCTCATTCTCTTTATTCCTTGCAACAATCTTTTTCTTTGTCTAAATCTTACACAATTACTTTCTCTCAGGTATTGCAGCAATGATTATCTTTATATTTTCCCTACTAAGCGTCTTTCACCTTCCTCATTCCACTAAGCATTCTTTTTCATTAATCATGTTTAATGCTGCATCTCACTCTTCTGTAGCATTCTGTACTTTACTGTTTTAAGCAGCTTCTACATCCTCTTTCCTTGTATTTCCTTTTCATTCTGATAGAATATTAATTTGTTTTCTAATTCTCATAGAAGATTCATATATTGTTTTTGTGCCTTTTTAAACTTTCATTACTGTTTTTCTCCCACTTTTCCTCCATGTCGATTTTGTTCCCAAATCCATTCTTGACTAGCAAATAATTCTCTCCCATATTCAGAACTTCTCATCGCTATTTTATGCTTCACTAATTCTACAGTTTCAGCATAACAATTTAAATCAGTTGTAATTTTAAATTTATATTCGTAAGTATGTATCGATTTATGGTTAGATTATATACTTAAACTAAGATTTTTTTTTAAACAGACCATTCCCATTCTTAATAGTAACTTTTTCTTTACAATCTTAGCTCATTCCTTCTCATCCATTTAAATTGTCTAGCAGAATTTTTTTTCCTCCTTCGGTCATGTTCATTCAACAATTTGCATAATTTTACCCAAACCTGGTTTACCTGTTTCTTTTGCTATCATAATTCATTGGAATATGACATACAATTACCAACCTATAGATATCTATTTTCATAAACACCTGCAACAACCGATATAGCACTGTTTCATACTTTATGAAAAACACTTTACACTATTTATTTATAATTAATCTGCATCTTTATTTCTCTCCAGGTATTCGTGTCCACACCATTCCAATCCATGTTCACACCATTCCAATCACTGGTTCATTTTCTTTACCATTTTCTTTTTATAATACCATTTGCAATCTTTAATATTTTATTTATGTACATGTCATATTTCTAAACCATCCGTCTCCTTCAGAGTGGGACTCTGTGCTATATACAATATAATATGATCAATAAATAAAACAATCTAATATGCCATGTGAGCCAAAGATATTGTCCTCTACTGCACTCATTGTGGATTTAGTTAATTTGGGCTTTCACATAACACTTTCCAGCGATATAGAGAAGTTTAGACTAGATTACTAGTTGTAGCAGTGCCTATACTAGATGCAGAATACTTTTACAGTACCCAATCATTTTGGCATATTGTGAGCAGTATAATACAAGCACAACCAATACTAATTTTACTCCAGTACTTTCAAACTATTCTATGCAAGTTAGGATCTCTCTTAACTGGAGTGTTTAACTTGCAGGTCCATGTACCATAGTCTGCATCCAACCAACTAGGAAGTATATGCAGTGAAGAATGTCTTTCACAGGATTGTGAAACATTTAACATTTCAGCAAACCTGTATATATTACCTAAGCTCTTACATGGATTTATGAATAATTTGGTCTGTTGCCTTTTTAGATTCAACAACTGGAGGTGCTGCTGCTTCAAATTATGCAAATTCCACTTGGGGTCCTGGAGTGTCCTCCAACAGCACCAATGTCAACCCTACTCATGTCTGGGACAAGGTGATTGTAGACGGGTCTGACATGGAAGAGTGGCCTTGTATTGCTAGCAAAGATACTGAGTCTTCTTCCGAAAACTCCACAGACAACAACAGTGCCTCAAACTCCGGCTCAGAGAAGAGCACTCTGCTGGGAAGCACCAGTAGCAACAAAGGAAAAGGAAACCAGTGCCAGTCTGGAAGCTCTGGTAATGAATGTAATCTTGGGGCTTGGAAATCCGATCCCAAGGCTAAACCTGTTCAATCTTCCAGTCCTTCAGCAGAGAGTAATGGTAGTCTAACAAGCTGGAGAAACTTGAGTGGGCAGGATAGAATTGGCCCCAATCCTGGCTTCAGCAACTTTAACCCAAATAGCAACCCATCTGCTTGGCCAGCACTAATTCAGGAGGGCAATTCAAGGAAAGGGACTTCAGAAACTGATAATGGTGGTTCAAATGCACAGATTAATACAACAGGTCAGACTTCTAGGGAACAGCAGTCAAAGATGGAAAATGCGGGTGTTAATTTTGTCTCTGGCAGAGAACATGCTCAAATCCACAACACTGATGGACCAAAAAATGGAAATGCTATATCCTTGAACTTAAGTTCACCAAACCCAGTAGAGAATAAGGGAATGTCCTTTGAAATGGGTTTTGGGAACCCCTCCAGGAGCACTGATACCCCTTCACAAAGCACTGGAGAGAGAAAAACTGGGAACGTTGGGTCTTGGGGTACAGCTAGGGGGCCTTCTGGAATGGACTGTGCTTCTAATCAAAGTAATTCTGGAAATCATGGGAACAATGGGAAGGATAGGGAAGACTTATGGAAGGGAGCTTCTGTTCAAAAATCAAATGGGTCAAGAAATGAATCTTGGGATAATAATAATAGATCTACGGGTGATGGGTCTTGGACCGTTGGCCCTCAACACTCTGGTGAAAGTAAATGGAATGAAGGGAACAAAATGACATCAGGGATGTCTCAGGGAGAATGGAAACAGCCGTCTGGGTCTGATGAACTGAAGATTGGTGAATGGAATGGTCCAAACCAACCAAATTCTAGCACTGGAGCATGGGACAATCAAAGGGGCCACCCGCTTCCTGAAAACCAAGGTAATTCCCAGGCTCCCTGTTGGGGACGATCTTCTAGTTCTGCAGGAAGTGAGATTGGAGGTCAAAGCACTGGAAGCAACCATAAAGCAGGAAGCAGTGATAGTCACAATTCTGGACGCCGATCATACAGGCCTACCCATCCTGATTGTCAGGCAGTTTTGCAAACTTTATTAAGCAGGACTGATTTAGACCCCCGAGTGCTTTCAAATACCGGTTGGGGTCAAACTCAAATCAAGCAAGATACTGTTTGGGACATAGAAGAGATGCCAAGAGCTGAAGGAAAGTCTGATAAAGGTACTGAGGGGTGGGAGAATTCTGCCATACAGACAAAGAACTCAGGGGGCTGGGGAGATGCACCCAGCCAAAGCAATCCAATCAAGTCTGGATGGGGTGAGCTTTCAACTCCAACAGAATGGAAAGAGCCCAAAAACACTGGAGGATGGAATAATGATTACAAGAGCAATTGTTCTAACTGGGGAGGGGGAAGACCAGAAGAAAAAGTCACAACATCTTGGAATGAGAATTCCAACAAAGACCCAGGATGGAATGGGCGGCCACCTAATCAGGGATGGTCTTCTGGGAAGAATGGCTGGGGAGAAGAAGTTGACCAAACAAAAAATGGCAATTGGGAAACTTCAGGAAACAAATCAATATCAGGTTGGAGTGAAGCTGGCCAGAATGAGATTGGCACTTGGGGTAATAATGCAAATTCAAACTCTTCTTCTAAAGCAGGGTGGGATAATAATAAAAGAACTCCAGCATGGAATGATACTGGTAGACAATCCAGTTCCTGGAATAATCCACAACAGCACCATCAGCAGTCAGAGGCACCCAGTTCCTGGGACCCACCACCACCTCAACCACCACAGCCTCCAGGTAATGGAAGGCTACCCAATTCTAACTGGAACAGTGGGCCACAATCAACTGTCTCAAAGGATGAAGAACCCAGTGGCTGGGAAGAACCATCCCCCCAGTCAATTAGTCGTAAAATGGATATTGATGATGGCACCTCAGCATGGGGAGACCCCAATAGTTACAACTATAAGAATGTGAACCTGTGGGACAAGAACTCACAAAGTGGACAAGCTTCACGAGATCAGAACCACCCTCCTCCAAGGCCAAGCAAAGTAACAACCTCAGGTAATTTTTTTAATGATCTTCATGATGATGCAAACAGTTCATCTTCTTACTAAACTCAGATCTACAATAATTTTCAAATCTGTTCTGTAGTTTGCCATACATCTAATGTGTCCTTGAAATAACAGACTATAAACCTTGAATTCAGTAGTCTTATATAACATATTACGAAATGCTTACTGTTTATAGGCAATTTTATTCTTGTGTCTGATATGTCAGGAAGGAGAATTCTGGACTGTCTTTATCTTTTAAAAAAAGAATAGAATTTTATTTATTTATTTATTTATTTAATTTATATACCGCTCTTCTCCCGAAGGACCCAGACTGTGCCAGAACCTCGTTCACATTGGACAAAGAATCAGATTCCTGTGATGTTCCTATCACATAGCATGCTTAATGCATAGTTAATGTAAATAAAATTCATAAAGCATTTATGTCCAGAAACTATGAGCTCCTTGTTACAATTTCTGTCAAGGAGAATAAAGGAGCAGCAGAAGATAGATTCTCCACTAGATCAGGACTGGTTGGATCCTTGGAACCTATTTTCTCCAGGATTGCACACCTTTTTATTGTTAGATGGGTTTTTAAATACAATATTCTACAAATTATTGAATATTTAAGTTTTTCTGAATACTTCTCATTTAGGAGAAGGGAGCATGAACATAAAAGGATAGGTTTCTAATGTTCTATCCAACAGATTGGTCCTTTTAAGGCTAACTGTTATATCAGATTAACACGTACAATTTACCAGTATAATATAGATTGGGTGCTTGTAAATATTCATAACAGTAATAATAATTATTTTGTTATAGAGTCTGATATTAATAACTATTTGAGCAACTTATGTGATTCCAATTCCAACAACTTATGTGATTCCAATTATTTTGCTTTTCCAGACGTCAGGAGTTAAAAAGCATATTACATTTCACTTAGATGTACCCAAGCTCTTAAGTGCTTCTTCGGCTTTATATTGTATTGTTATATGAACAGTTAATGTCAGAAAAACAATGGAGGAAAATATGTTATCTTTTTGCCAATATACAGATTGATACTATCATAATCATATTTTTCTGAGCAAATTGTGGATAACATTGATTATATATGATCATGGTATAATGTATTCCATATATATTATATTAACATTTTTCTGATCTCATTCAGAGAATTCTTATCTGAAGTCCTCCTCCTCTCTCTCTTACACACAGTTTGTGATTATTTTGAATTCTATTGACTGTAAAATCAAATTCTACTGTTAATGTAATACTGTAATGGTGACACTGTTACTTGATTTAACACAGTAATGTAGGGTTTAGAATAGATATTAAAACTGTTGTATGATAAAGTAGAATCAGCTGTGTAGAAAGAGAATGCTTTACAAATAATCCTCAATTTATGACCACAATTGAGCCCCACATTTCCGTTGCTAAGCAAGGTAATTGTTAAGTGAGTTTGCCCCATTTTATGAGCTTTCTTGCCACAATTGTTAAGTGAATAACTGCAGTTTTTAAGTTAGTAACACAGTTGTCAAGTGAATCTGCTTCCTTGGTGAATTTGCTTGACAGAACGTCGCAAAAGGGGATCACATGACCCCAGATGCTGCAACGGTTGCAAGTTTGAAAAGCAGTCGTAAGTCACTTTTTTCACTGCTGTTTTAACTTTGAACAGTCATTAAACGAATGATTGTAAGTCAAGGCCTACCTGAATTTTGAGGTTATGTTGTGAATATTAGAATATTATTTATTCACTTCAGTGAATAAATAGCCTAGAATTAAAACTCTTTCTGTATTTAGTCTGGAACAAAAGCACACCTCCTGCACCAGATAATGGTACCGCTGCTTGGGGTGAACCAAATGAAGCCAGTCCTGGTTGGGGTGAAGTAGAGGAAGCAGGGACTTCTACCACATGGGGAAATGGATCCTCCAGTACATCAAATGCCATAAAACCTAGTAAGTACTTCCTAGTTTCCTCTTTTAAAACAACAATAATGTATATTTTGAATTTTTTTTTATTAAAACTAATTGTTGAAAACACAAAAAAAAAAAAACAGTTCCTAGAAAATAATATAGTTTTATAAACAGAAACAGAATTGAATTCAGCAGGAATCCACAAGGGAATATTTGGTAAGTCAATCTCTCACCAGCACTCCAAACTCAGAATCACACCTAGGAGAACTTCTGCAAAACAATATTTCAGTTCCCTAACTGAGCCAAAAGGATTCAATTACTGAACATCACTCAGAGATCAAATACCCACCTTTATCCACATCTTGGCATCCACCAGGGTATCATTGCCATTGCAGCATTAATCCCAGGTATGAACTCTGACTGAAAAGGATCCAGACGAATCATCTTTCTCTAGGGTCTTCTGCAGTTAAATCCACATTCACCTTCTTTAGTTGTCTAAAGAAGCCAAATTCAGGGAAGCATCTTCAATAAGGATAAACTAATACTTCCCTAAAAGCGGGATCTGGTTCAATCCCTCCTCTGAAGAAATATTAATCGGTTCCTAAACCCAGGAATTCACCACTATTGCCTCTCATAGACTACCCAAAAGAACCAAAAGGTGCATGAATCTAAACCATCTCAAGTAACTAGTGCTAGAGAGCACTTTATCCATTCTATCAGAGTCCACAAGCCAAAATGAATTCTAGATGTCAGCACAAGGTGCTGTTTTATCACTTTTCCTGCATATAAGAAACCCATCCTTTGCTCAATTTGAGTGACTGTTATCCAAAAGTGTCATAGCAGCCTGGTGTTAATTGTTCTTGCTCACCTTAGATGATCTTAAATGGGGCTGCAGGAAATAGCTTGTTAATATAGTAGGGAAGGAAAATATGGGTGTTTAACCACTGTAATTGCCATGAAGTAGCAGGCACATGCTTGATCAAGTTTACTTTTCATCTTCCTCTACCAGTGTTCTGAGCCTTGTCCAAACTGGGTTTTCTCTAGATGCATGGACTTCCAACTTTCAGAATTGTCAGCAGCAGTTATTTATTTATTATTTGATTTGATTTGATTTCTATACCGCCCTACTCCCGAAGGACTCAGGGCGGTGCACAGCCAAACAGTAAAACACATACATACAAAATTTAAAAGTAGAATTAAAATCAAATTAAATAATTTTGGCCCAGACAAATTAAAACCCCAAACTATTTAAAAGCAATTTTAAAATTGAATATATAAAATACTAAAAGATATTTAAAAATTAAAAATTATAAAAGAGGGAGAAGATTAGGCCAGGCCCGCCTGGTAAAATAAAAAGGTCTTTAAAGCACGGCAGAAGGTGCGCAGATCCGGGATCCTCCGTATCTCCAGGGGGAGCTCATTCCAGATAGTAGGTGCCCCCACAGAGAAGGCTCTCCCCCTGGGGGCCGCCAGTCAGCATTGTTTGGCCGACGGCACCCGGAGGAGCCCCTCTCTATGGGACCGTACCGGCCGGTGGGAGGCTATTGGTGGTAGTAGGCGGTCCCGCAAGTACCCAGGTCCTAAGCCATGGAGCACTTTAAAGGTGGTAACTTGACTTAGACGTTCTGGAGGTTGGAATTCATACATTTGAGAGTATGCAAGTTGCAAAAGGCTGGCTGATGGAGCCTCTGTCTTGGAACCATACATATTAATATGAAGTGCTGTGTGGTACTAAATTATACGCTTGAACATACTTATAAAAACTTAAGTGGATGGCAGGTGAAATTCTTGTGAGGTTGACAGGGACACTCCTCTAAATAGAGCAATCTTGAGTGTTTTTATAGGATTTTAATTTTAGAGCAGATTTTAGAGTTACAGTATTTTAGACACTGATTTGAACATGCAGATGAACAAACTGGAAAGAGGGAGCAGGAGGGAGAATGAGCACTCTAACAAGCAAGGACATTGAACTATCAGATACAGCTGGAATCAGTGTTGCTAAATGTATGTGCTAATATTTGCTAATGGTATTCTTAGGCATGTAGTATCCAGAGTAAACACATAGATACAGTATGTTTAAAGGACTTTTTTCATTCAAGAGTATTATGCCACATAAGCTGCTGCTGTTTCTGTAAGAAAAATTAGGAATCTAAAGTCACAAATAAATGAATAGGAAACAAATTAAGTTATCTCACTTTTTCCAGCCAGGGGATGGGAGGAAATCCATTTTGCATAAATAGGGATTTATGGACTCACAATGTGAGAAGAGGTCCTTGGATTACTAGTTTTACTGGATCCAAAGAAGTCCTTGGAGACATTTTTTGAGCCTTTTCCTGAATAAATTGAAAGAATAAACTTGTATAAGACCAGATCTTGGGGGGGGGGGTGTTTTGGGAGGGTGATTTGTTGTTGAATTTTGGCAGTAAAATCCCAGAAGGGACCCTCTAAAGAATGCATAAAAAGGTGGCTTCTTGGGGGACTCAAAGTGTGCTGTTTTGCATTTCAAATGAATGAAAACAATTCTAGCTTATTTCTATGGTATTTTTCTACTGAGACATAGACTGGGACTGATTTTAATCTCAAAACTCATTGCCATGGTTTCTCTGTAACCAAACAATGCTGTGGCAAATGTTTTAAAAATCGTTATTTCTCTTTTTTAATTTGCTATTTTTATGTATGTTAAATAATTAACACTTTATGATCAGTATTATTCTAATGTGTATTGCTTAGTTTGTATTACTAACTATCTTTTTTATCATATCTACAAAAAAAAATCACAGTAAACTGTTTGAGGAGTTCTTAAAACAGAAATTTAGCAAAGTTGTAATTAAAATATGTTTTTATATACATAGTCCCCAATGGGACTAGGCCACCCCAGTATGCCAGCAGAAGAGGCCTGCTACAGATCCTGTTTACTAAGGAATTCCCACAGGCAGGGTCAAGAAAAAGAGCCTTTTCCATCATGGCCCCATCTATGTGGAACCCTCTATCATCAGAGGTGGGAACTGCGCCCACCTTTTTTGTCTACTAAAAGCATATTAAACCATTGTTTTGCCAATTGGCTTGAGGTCCTAAGGGGAGTGCTTATCACTGGAGGTGGTTGACAGGATAAGAAGACCTTGTCTCTTAGTTTTGGTTTTTGCAGTTTTAAATTTTAAATTTTTAGAAAAGTAATTAAAACAAATATAAATTTTATAACACACAACCTGCCTGGAATTGCTTTCTAGGGAAAATGTGCAGCATAAAAATGTAATGAATTTTAAAAATAATATCTTTAGCTTAAAATAACAGTTTTGAATGAGTAACCATTTTATTGGCATTAGTAGTTGATTAGAATTATTTAATTCCAGCAGAAAGGATTGGCTGTATTCATACTTAATGCTAAGCCAAACAATATGTCTGGCACATTGCAGTTTGGGGTAATACGTAACCCCCACCCATTTAATCCAGGTTTGTAGTGACCTTTTAGTATGCTAGGATAAGAAGAAGCTGACTACAAGTAGGAACTGAGTATATTGTTTAGATTCCAGGAGAATTTGAATAGTGTTTCAACTTAATTATACACTGCTTTGCTTTTTGCATAATTGATTATGCAGAATTAATGATCAGTTAGCCATTATATCTAATCAGTATAATAAGCAACACAATGTAAATTGTATTATGATTAGCTTCAGAATTGCTATTCAGCTTGTTCTCACATTTGGAAGTAGTGGAATAATTCACCAGAAAAAAAGTTTGGGGTTATTATAAACGAATGGATTGTCTTTAAAATGGAATGATATGTAATACAAACTATAGCAATAGCACTTAGACATATATACCGCTTCACAGTGATTTACAGCCCTTTCTAAGATTATTGCCATATTTCCCCCAACAATCTGGGTCCTCATTTTAGAAGAAGAATGGAGGGCTGAGTCAACCTTGAACTGGTAAAACTCAAACTGGCAAATTGCTGCCAATCGGCAGTCAGCAGAATTAGCCTGCAATACTACATTCTACTCACTGCGCCACCACGGCTCTTATAACAAATTATGGTTACAAAATGAAAGTTACGACATTTCATTCATAACCCATTTTTTAAAAAATATTGAAACACGCAGACAAGCATATATAGAAACAAGGAAGAATTGCAAAGCCAGATATTAATATTATCTTAATATTCCTTCCACATATATTTGACTGTGAAATTTATGACCATTAGTCATAAATTATATGTATCATGTAACATAAACTATAATGATTATAAGTTAAAAGAACTTTCTGGCTTCAACCTGAACAAAGAACAAAAAGCCTTTGCTATGCTAGTTTGCCAGGCATCTAGAATTATACTGTAGTTCTCTTTTTTCCCAATGTTAGCTATGGATATTCTAGCAGTCATAAAATACTGCTAAACCTTTTGACAAAATATATTAATTGATTTCTAGAAATGTATGAATGTAATATCTGAACACAGATATATTCTTTGGTTTATGAGTTACCAATATCTGAAAAAAATTAGGACCAAAAGGAGCCCTAATGACTAAATATCATTTTAGCAGCATAGACAACTTTATTTGTTCATGCATGCTAATTTACCATGCCTATGTCCCATCTATGAAACAATCTAATAAAAATTTCCTCATTGGGCCAAGAAGGATAGCACTGATTTCCATTTTTCTGTTTTATTTCTATCTTGGTCATTGATCTGTTAGAACCCATTTTGTAGAACATTTTAAAACTAATTAAATATATAAATATTTGTTCCATACTAATAATACAAAATGAAGAAATGAGGCCTTTGTATAGTTCTGATATATACTAGTCATTCTAAAATTATTATATACTAGTAATTCAAAATCAGTCAAGAGATCTGTTTGTTTGGGCCTTTATTTCTGGATTAAAGAGGAGGGATCCACAACTGCAAATGATAATCTCCAGGAAAAACTTTAAAAAGTTAACCTGTCAGTTACCAGATCCAAGTTAACAGGTTTAGTGAAGGTTAAAATCGATTTGATCCTGGATTGTAAAATAAAATAATAGACATGGGAAATTTAGGGTGGCTGTTGGGTCTTTTTTCTGACATTTATTTTCCATTAAAGATTCCAAATCACCTCAAGATGGCTGGGGCGATAATGATGGGCCAGTATCAGGAACACGGCATTCCAGCTGGGAAGAGGAAGAGGAGGGAGGAGTCTGGAACACAGCAGGCTCTCAGGGAAGTAATTCCTCCCATAATTCAACCAGCTGGGGACAAGGAGGAAAAAAACCACAAATCAAGGTAGGAAAAATCTTTTGTGATGCAGTCTTTCATAGATAAGTGAATATCATTCTCTAAAATTGCTAGTACAACAGAATGTTAATTATGTAAATTTGTGTTAAAAGGAAGAGTTTAATGTATTGAAGGTGCATAATTAATAGTGATTATGTGAATGGATGGTTAGGATTGAGACGAAAGTAGGAAACCATTGATTGGGCCATTAAGAGGCTAAATGAAAATAGTGAATGGTGGGTATCTCCTTAAATGGATGTTGATTTCAAACTTGGTTTAAACATGTTTGCCTACATATACATGTAGCAAAGGACTGAAAAGAATTTTAAAAAACATGATTGTTTTTATTGCTTATTACTTATTTTCTGTGATTTGTATACAATTAAAACTGCATATCTTTTTTGAAAACTAAAGGCATAAAACCATAAAACCACATCATTAAGATACAATACTGTGAAACAGATGGCAAACAAACTGCAGATATTACTTTCCAAATTTTGCCAGAACAGCCTTTTAATAATTCTGAAGATAATATAGTAAGAAAAGAGTCCTATATGAAACAGTATTAGGAAATCAATTACTTCCCAATAGAATGAAAGTAAAGAAGGTGTAGGAAAAGAAGATACTGAAAATTCCTGAAATAAAGTGACAAGAATTGCGTAATAGAGTGCCATAGAAGTATGTGAATGTATCAAAAAAGATGCTTGGATAGAATGAGGAAATGAAAAGTTGCACATAATGAGAAATGCATGTAAGAGAACCATTGCTGCAGAAAAAGATAAAGAAACATACTGAATATTTTCTGAAATTTATGATATTGAAAAAGATATCAAAAGAAAAAAGACACGGGAAAAATTGTGATTTTAATAAAACTGAAAGATGTTGATTGAAGAGCCTTCAGCAACAAGACTAGAATTAAAAGCAAAAGTGATGAAATTATTTAGTGAGAGAATGCTGCAAGACATATTCTATAGATTTATCGAGAATGACAGTTGAAGAATAGAATGGAAACAAATGCTGTAAATGTTTAGCTTCCAAGGGAAAAAAGTCACAAATTTTCAGTACTGTGGGAATGTTGAAAAATGGTAAGGCTGCATGTGTAAGTGTTGCAACTGAGAAAAATGTTAAAATATGGACGTGGTCTTGTTGATAAAGAGACACTGTGACCTGTCTAATGTGTGAGGTTTGCTTATAGCATCTCTGCATGACCTGCTTTTTATGAGTGAATGCTGCATGTATGCATAACAGTTTGAAAAGTGCTGCTGTGGTTCCTCCAAAGCATGAGTGTTAAACTTGTGGTGTCACGTTGCCATCACGTGACATATTACAACTTCTTTCCCTTTATGGAGCTGGGATGGGTGTGGCCTACATGTGATGCATTCAGCCTGGGGGCCACCAGTTTGAGACCCCTACTCTAAAGAGAAAGGGGGCAAGAATGAATGCAAAAACAACAGTTCCTGATTGAAATTCTGATGAAGACGGTATGAGAGGTGCCCGTGAGCAAAATTTAGGAAGTACAATGAAGCTTTATGATGGAGAGGGATGTTCCAACTAGAATTTTACTCTTCAGCAAATAATTCAGAAATAGAATATTTTTTTATTCAGGAGAAAGTATATGACAAAGCATATGAATAGACTTGAGCTATGGAATATTTTTCATGAATAGTGATACCAAATGCAGTAAAACCACTAACTGAAGCATCTTGAGAATAAAGGGAATGTTTAGCAAAAAGCTCAACATTGAAGATGGAATAAAAACAAGGATATATCACATCTTCTTGTTTGTTCAGTATATTTAAGAATAAAGGCGTGTGTCTGGGTTGGAAATATCAAATTATAGGTACGTTTATGTGCAGTTCATATTTTGTTATTCCTGAGAAGCCAAAAGATTTGCAGTGAATCTTAAATAGATTTGATAATATTAACTGTAGTTAGTAATTCTATACAGTAATGTTTTCCCCTAAATAAGTCAGCAAGCAATAAGTCTACATGAATTTAATATTAAACTTGATTGCTTTTTGTTTAACAGTTGAAATTAGGATCGGCCAATCTCAGTTTTGTAATGAATATACAGTATAGTATTATTTAAATTGAATATTTTGCAGCGTAGAATGAAATTTAAACTAATCATCTCTGTTTTCAGTGTTCATTAAAAGGAGGAAGTAGTGATTCATGGATGAATACCTTATCTGATCAGATTTCAAATATGGGATTGTTGGTAAGGCATTCTATCTACTTGTTGCAAAAATTATTTACTAATATTTGATAGGGAAAAAGTAGCTAGCCATCTAGGCACAATTATAAGAGATTGCTTTTTTTTTAAGACGCTTTATGGTGCAAGACTGATTTATAATTATTTGCAAAATTGTATTAGTTGTTTATATAACATCATATATACATGTTTATGTATACACATGTACACACACACTAGATATGTCCTACTAACTTCACCCCACACATGTATAATACTTCACACATATAAAGTACTTCGCAGATCAATACCTAGGAGGTTTATAATTTAAAAATAGACACAGAAAGCCGCACTAGAAGGGGAGATAGAAGTATAAATGAGAAAGAGAAAGTAGAACTATTGCAATTACACATAAATTAACTTAATTACAATAAAACCAGAGATTATGGCAAATAGGACAATCAACAGAACCAAACGCCAGCTATTTAAAAATATTTGATTTCTGTATTAGGTGAATATTGCTCACTAAGCTTTAAAAAAGTTTAGAATTTTTATTTTTGTAAACAATAGGTATTTGGATTCGTCTCTTGATTGTATGAAGATTAGTTAATCAGAATGCCAGATCGTTTTCTTTAAATGCTGTTTAATTAGCACCAAATAGTTTGTTTTGTTTTGAAAGTAATACTATCCTTTTTGTGTGCGACCATTAAAGTGCAGGTGAAATGAGTTTCTCTTTTACAAGAATAGGCTGTGAGAAACCATGGGAATCTTAAGCACTGTTGACCATAGTGCTGTCTTCATTAATGTGGAAATAGTGCTGCTATTTATGTGCATGTGTAGTTGCTTTCTTGGCAAAGGAACTATTATCATCATATGTTGCATATACATGCTTCTACTTGCTTTCTTCTCTGCATTAGCTTTGGATTGAAAGGCATTCTGCATGCAGTTCCACATCAGAACACTTTTGTCCTTAGGCTTTGTGCTTGTCCCCTTACTGCAGAATAGGAAGCAGGCTTTTATAAGGCCTCTGGGATTGTCCCACTTGCCAAGACATTCTCTCTGCCTATCTGTTCCAATTCTTCTGAAGCCAAATCACTGAATTGAATTAAAGCAGCATATTCAAACAGTATAGAGCACAGCGGTACAAAAATGGAAAATTTGGAATATTTTTATTTTAGTTGTTTTTAAAACAATTTAAATTTTAAATAAATTGTTTTAACTTTAAAAACATCGTGTTGACATGGCACAATGCCCTAATCTATAGTATTTTTTTACAGTAATGCGTCTAAGCCTTGTCAGTTGCCTGGCATAAATCTCAAATGGGAGAATTAGATATAGTGCTTTGTTAAAAAAAAATATTCCTACTCCAGAGACTTTGTCAATCAAAATTAAAGTGTAGGTAGCCTATTGATTCTCCCCATTGGCTGCTTTGAACTCAAATAATAACTACTGCAGCACTATAGCTTTGTGTCTTTTAAAAGTTACAAGAACATTTCGTCCCAAATTGCCAAACAAAGGCTGTACTTAGCAGTACATATTAAATCTAGATTTATCTTTAAAATGACATAACATTCTAACCAACGGGTTAGAAATAAAGGTACATTATTTTTCATAAATGAAGATAAATATACGTGTCCCAGGATAATGTTGAAGGATCTAGTCTGGATCAATCACCAGGACCAAAGGGTTTTGTCTTCTGAGCTTTTGGACTCATGCTGGAGCCCATCTTCAGGGAACGTCTCTCTAGTATTTTTCAAGTGTGCCAAACTATAGCTTTCTGAGAATTGTTCTTTTCTTTTCCAGAATCAAACTGAAGATACTTCAGGCAATAAGATGGACTTATCAGTAGGTATGTATCTAATAGCACAAGGATGCAGTTTCACTTTATTTACTTAATATTTTTTATTGCAAGCTTTATGCCGATATGCTAGCCTTTTTGAATAACTGTGGATCATTAATGTAGTTTCCACATAATGATGGACAAAAAGAAAAAAGAAAGAGCTGAGTTAAAGTGGTAACACCTATAACTGATGGAGTATGAATAGTAATAATCTATTTTTGTACTGATTTTTGGGGAAGTAATTTTGTTTCATTCTGCTAAAAATTTATAAAGAATTCTTGAAATTTTGTTGGTATTCTAATATAAAACCTCTGTTATTAGCTATAGATAATATATATTTTGCTAACATGTAATGAGAGAGAAATAATTAGTTTATTATCCATGCAAAATCAGGAAAAGTCAGGGGTTTAATGTGCTAGCCAATGCCAAATCCAATTATCTATGCATCCATTTCAACTGTGTATTCTTCTGTGGAAAAAGTATAGGATATTTTTTTATTCATAACAAATTTGTGGACATTTCAGGATATTGTTTCATGGTTTTAGGGAAACTTTGTATAAATGTATAATTTTTAAATCATTTAATTTAGTAGCATTTTAACAACAGTAATGCATAACGGTAATTGGCAAGAATACATGTTTCGTACTTCTTCAGGTGGTCTACAAGATAAGAAGTTTGATGTAGACAAACGAGGCATGAATCTCGGAGACTTTCATGACATAATGAGAAAGAATCGATCTGGTTTTCGTCCTCCTAGCTCCAAAGATATGGGAAACCCAGATAGTGGGCCTTACTTTGAAAAGGTAAGACATATTTTTTTTCATGATAATCTAAAATAAAAACGGTTACTCTGTTTTAATTTTCACAGGTTTATAGTCATGTTTAAATACAAGAATTATAGGGGAAATAATGTTTATAAGGTGTAAATTGAAGATAGTATTTACATTAGTTATTTGGAAAAGGGTTCTTTTTATGAAGACTCAGTATGTTTGTGTGCGTGGTTGTAAATAAGTTCATTTATTATCTTACAATCTTACTGTAGAAACATCTGAGCAAGATAGGATTGCATATAAGTTTAATAAACAGTTTGAAAATATACCCACAGATATATACCAACCAGTTTGTATTTTCTGTCATATATTTCAGCCCTCATTTATTCATGATTAAAACGACATCTTTACTTCTATACATAAATCTACTGTACAAGATCAGATCACCTATGTACAGATCTCTCTATTATTTGTTCTTACATTTCAAATCCATATGCCAGGATTGTCAACTATATTTTCCATTCCATAACTTTTCATATAAAGTTTTATAATAAGAGAAGAATTCGACTAGGTTACCAGTATTAATCATCCCCTTGATATATGCAGCATTTTCCTATAGCAGAGCTAGGAACTCCGCACAGTGGTATTTCTCCCATACACTTGCTCCAGAATCAGAGTTATAAACTTCCTGTGAGCGACATACTTGCATTCTTAGTTATGTCCCCGCCTTTCTGTGGAAAACGTGCATATCTACTAGCCACCTATATGGTAAGATCAGCCAACTATCCAATCTTTTTTTTCTGCATTTGTTTTTTTTTTCCATGAAGCCTGCTGCAATTAGTACATTCAACAAAATCTCAGACAAGTATTCATTATCCATAGTCACAATCTCTGACATTTGAGCCAAGTGAGAAATCTGGCATCTTATGGCATACCTTTATTCCCTCTTATCTCATAGCCCTACCCATCTGCTCTCGACACATATGATTCTGTTGTTAGGCACCCATTTTTATCCTCTCTTTACTGAGGAGTTGTAGATTTGTTTTTATAAAATTTAATTTTTAATCTGGATTTTATATTTATATTTTTATACTCCTTGTTTTTATATTTAATTGTTGAACACTGCCCAGAATCGCATTTGTATAGGCGGCTATACAAATTTGACTAATAAATAAATAAAGGATTAATTCACTGAGCTGAATTCAATATATTTGCAATATTGAGAAGTGTATTATATCTCATTGGTGATATATTTCTGTAATTGTGGCTGTGTTTTTTTCTATTCTAGTATTGAGAGTAGTTAATAGTTGTATAAGATCAATTGGTTTTGAACTTATGCTACTCTCAAAATTTCAAAATTACTGGACATTCTGGATAGGCCACAAGCTTTTGGGTATTCTAGATCATAGCAGCATGCACCATTTAGATCTTTCTTCTCTACATAGCCTAGAACCGTGATGGCGAACCTGTGGCACGCGTGCCACAGGTGGCACGCGGAGCCATATTAGTGCGCACGCCAGCTCAGCTCTGGGGCGCATGCGCGCACCAGCCAGCTGATTTTCGGGCCTTCTGGGCCTACCAGAAGTAGGGAAACAGGCTGTTTCCTGCCTCTGGAGGGCCTGGGGGTGGGGGTGGGGGGTGGGGAAGGCCCGTTTTTCTTTCTTACCTGGCTCCAGATCCTCTCTATTTATCTGGGAAGGGCGAAAACAGCCTTTCCCACTCCCTCGGAGGCCCTACGGAGGCTGAAAGGGCCCATTTCCCGACTCCCGGTGGGACAAGAAGTGACGTTTTTTCCTGTCCCCCAGCCTCCAGAGACTCCTAGAGACGCTCCTAGAGACTCCTGGAGAGGTTCTGGAGGCTGGGGACAGCAAAAACCGTCACTTCCTGTCCCACCGAGAGTTGGGAAATGGGCCCTTTCAGCCTCCGTAGGGCCTCCAAGGGAGTGGGAAAGGCTGTTTTCGCCCTTCCCAGATGCATAGAAAGGATCTGGAACCAGGTAAGAAAGAAAAATGGGCCTACCAGGCGATTATGTGCCAGGAGCGGGAGTGGGTGAGGTTGCGTGCGCATGGGCACGTGCACATGCACCCCTCCCCCGCGCCCCCCCCTCTCCTGGCACGCGATGGCAAAAAGGTTAGCCATCACTGGCCTAGAATATTGATATGTAAATATTTGACAAGTGGTATCTCTGTTGTCTGAAAGATTGCAAAACCACTATGAGCCTGCAAGTTCTATGGCAGCAGTCCCCAACCTTTTGAGCACCCAAAAACTGGTTCCATGGTTTTTCCACGGACCGGAGGGGACATGGTTTTGCATGCTGACTGCATCCCACAGATGGGGCTTCACTTGTTTGCTCTTGCTCAGTTTCTGGCATGCCACCGATGGGTGTCATTCCACAGACCAGGGATTGGGGACCCCTGTTCTATGGTACAACATGTCGAGTTTCCTCAATATTACCCCAAGTTGTGGAGCTTTTACTTGAAATAGCTTCCTGAAATGCAGTATTTTAATTTTCTCTTTCTTCTACTTGCATTTACATTCCAGAAATTTTTGAAGGACTGGAGTGGGGGCGGGGGATTGCTTACTTGCATGCCTCTTGTGGAGTTTATATGCAATTCTCTCAGTACTGACAAGAAGGCTTTTAGAGGCAAGAGTAATTGCCAAACTGCTTCTTTTAAGTAAAGTTACTTTCCTTCTAGCAAATCTTAGCATTCGATTCTAGCAAACTTGTTGTCCTTCAGTAGATTCTCTACATTTTAAGAAGATGGTATCTTATATGGCTTTCTTTTCAAAAGTTGTTTTTAGATTTTATTTGGGTTAGGATAACATCTTCCTATCTTTGGCTTTATATTATTTATAAGTGTGCCACGTTTTAGCTTTGGATCTGCTCGTTTCTAATAATTAAGATTTCTTTTTGTTGTAGACCAGCTAATGGCTTGCCAGCATAATCGCAGAGTAGTTACTGTATTGTTGTATTGTCTTGTATATAACCTGTTCTTGCCCAGCTATGTGCAAATTCATTCCATGAGAGCCATTGCTACCTTAATAGCAGCATTGCCAGGGAATTCTACTTATTTGCCAAGTTGCTAACTGGTCTTAGCCTTTCACTTTATTAGATGCTGCTATCTGAATATTGGAGCCATATTGGAAACATTTTTGGAAGGATACTTCTCTGTTCTGTACTAAATTAACTTTGTATCTTAAAGTATAGCTGTTCAGAAGTAGGGCACACAGGCACCATATTAAGAAGACCAGATTGCTTATCTCTAATTGTAGCTCTTCAGGTGATCTCACAGTTTACCTTTTCATTTCGCTAGAGGTTCATTATAGTTTTGATAGACCTATATAAGTCTCGAAAATGGAGGTAGGATATTAGGAAAAGGTTGAACACTCCGGGCCCATAAATAATTAGCTTTGATCTACAAAGTAATGAAGAAGTCTAGATAGAGGCAGAAAAATCAAAATGTCTGAATGGCAAAATGTTCACTTGAACAACCAGTTATAGCTAAGCTGTCTTCATACAACTTTTGAGAATAGTTTTGAGACTTTCAGTCTCAAATCATGCAACAGAACTCCCAAGAAAACTAATATTTCCAGCTAAAGATCTTTGACTTATTAACATTTACTCCAAATGCATAATCACTGAGTTCCAAAGTCCAATAAATACTGCTGCCAACGAACTACTAATGTTTTTTTCCCTGATGCCACTAATTGTCTCTTTTAATCGTAAAACCCTCACAGATTTTTAGAAATTCCTGGGTTGATTCACATTCATTTTATACCTAGTTAACTGCAGAATAAAAATGTGGAAAATCTAATGCATGCCTACCATCTTTATTTTTGTTCTCATGCAGTTTTAGGTGATATTGAAATTGACAGAGTTACAGATACTAGCACAGAGGTTAATCTGTATTACCAGATGTTGTTAACATGATTAGGCAGACAAATAGACATACATATTTTTCAGACTATAAAACGCACTCTCCCCCCTCCCCCCCCCAAAAAAACCTGGGTGGAAATATCTGTGTGTCTCATAGAGCAAATATTGCGGCGGAGTGGTGGTGCAGCGCCGATCAGCTGTTCTAGGCGGTGGGGATCGCCATCGGCGCCCATTTGCTGTAAATGAGCCACAGTGAACGGGCCATGGCAGCAGCGAACAGGCCGCGGAGGCAGAGGCAGATTTTTTTCCCCTTGTTTTCCTCCTTTAAAGCTAATGTGAGTCTTATAGTCCGGACTGTTTTATAGTGTGAAAAATTCAATAATACCCAAGGCCAGAAGGCTACAGTCTAATCTCCAGCTAACCTTTTACATTCTGCGTGGTCCCAACTGTACATTGCAAGTTCATTTTTGGCTGAAGAATGGACAGACTAAAGGGGTAAATGTGGACTAAGTTTTTATATTGGTTCATCTGCTTCTTAGTTTACCTGTTTTGGCATGCATGAAAAAGGGAGTAGGCTCCCTGATGAGGACAGAGCTAAGATCTTTTGAAAAATTCTTCTTAGGGATGTGGTTTCTGAGATGTGGTTCAGATTATCTCCTTCCTGGTATTTTAGTCCAGGCTATATGAACAGACAGTGAGACTGCCTGGGTTTTATGATCTGAAACAGATGGTAGTGATGCTTTTTCTCTTCCATTTTCATTTTGGAGCCTTCTACTCCATTCAGCATAGGGCTTTTTTCTTCAGTTTTTCAGTTCTGTTCTCTCTGATAGTGTTGCAGGTAGTTTTCAAAGATCTCATTTGCGTGCATGCTTAAACCACCTTCCGCCACCTGTGGGAGCCACCCACATACCCTCTCCAACCTGGCAGCAGTCACACTCGTACCACACCTCAACAGCCATACAAGTACCCAGTAACCGCCATGCCATATTCGCACTACTCTGATCACATGTGCACCTGGCAGTGTCCGGCTTCACCGCATCCTGACAGCCACCTATACACATTCCATCACCCAGCAGGAGCCATCCCCAGACCTGCCGCACTTCAGTGGCCAACTGCACTCTCAGCAGCAGCCTCTTATCTGCTTCCTGGCTTATGTGAGACCTGCCTGGGACTTGCAACTTTCTAACGGCTTCCCCATTGACTTGTTAGAAGTAGGCAGGAATTTGCAAGCAGGCCCTTGTGTAACAACCACAATGGGGAGTGCCGGAATTACTGTAGCTAAATATTGCAGTCAACTGACATCGCACTTTATAACTGTATCACTTAGCAACAGAAATTCATGCCCCAATTAACACAGTAACCCAAGGACTTTCTGTATTTGTCTTGGGTGCTCTAAGTGTTACTTAATTGTATATATGCCGAAAAGGAACACTTATTCTTATAATCTGTATATGGTCCATGGGAATTGAGGCAATGGGTAAATTGTACAAAAATATAAATGGAATTTTCCAGAAATCAGAGATATTTATATCTTTCATTTAATTTTTTTTTTCTGTGACTTTGGCATTAACTATGAAAAAAAAGGTTTAAAATAATATGGTTTGTTTTGATTGTCTTCTTTTAGACCACATCTCCAAAATAAGTAGCATAATCTAGTAGAAACTGTCCTTTTAATGCTAAGCAAATACATTATATATATTTTTGATCATTCACTGTCGCTGTTTCTCTTCTTGCATTCTGTTGCTTCACTAACCTTCAACTGCTACTGATTGGCTAACTACTGCTTCAGCTGACTTTGCCTTTCTCCAATCAAGATGGGTGCCTTGGGGATGAGGCTCCCTGCTCTCCCTTCTCCCCTTCTCCCAACTACAAGCTATCTCCCTCTGGTTCCACATTACCAAACGTCTGCCTTGGGGCAATCGGCTCAGGGCTCAACCCCCAAAACTTCACTGCTAGACAAGTAAGAAAATCACATCGTTAGTTATATTACTGCTTGGCTATGTCCTGTATTGATTTTGGAGAGCTGGATTTTTTCCTCCTGACTTATTTTTAATTAAAATGTGGTTTGTTTATGAGAATATACTAAAATAATTCAATATCTATTCAAGAGCCTAATGTTTAATCTTTCTTTTTCTCTCTTTTCACCTTAATCCCATTTTCTAATAATTTTGTATATTGCCTTTGTATCCTTGAATTCTTACTAACACCTTATGGCAAACCTTTATTTAGAGTCAGTAAACAGACTATTGGGAAATACTATGAGAAAAACCTCTTTTCCTCTTGTTCTGAAGATGTAACTTAAAACTAAAAAGTCAGACTAAATTTGTGCAGGGAAGTCTTTTTCTAGATTCCACAACGAAGAGGGCTATTATGTTTTTGTTTCTACTTTTAAAGAAATGAGTGTGATATGAAATCAGCTTCTCGGAAGGGGATAAAGTTGGAAAAAGCTAGTCAGAGCAGAATGAATTTAAGGTAATCAGCATTCATATGCCCTAAATAATGTAGCACATAACTGCACATTGAAATATTCCACGAATAATAATAATTAGTAACTACATGTAAAGTATTTATACAGTTGAACTCATAGTTACTGTTCTTTTTTTAGGGTGGCAATCAAGGTCTGTTTGGAAATAGCACAGCACAATCGAGAGGGATGCACCCACCAGTGCAGCCGCTAAACCCTTCCCCCAATATTCGGGCACAAGTGCCTCCTCAATTTCTTTCCCCCCAGGTAAGCAGCATAAAAACTTAATTGTAAATAGTTTTATAATTGGTCTCTACAGATCAACATAAGAGGTTACAATTAAACAAATGTAAAAATAGAATTTTGTTTGGTCTGCCTTTCCTCTATATGGTTTTATTAAAAACCAGGTAATAGATGCATTCGCTTTCTAGTTAATTCTGAGCAGGAAAGTTGCTTATTGCAGGGGTGTTAAACTCAATTTCATTGAGGGCCACATTAGGGTTGTGTTTGACTTCAGGGGCTGGGTGGGCGTGGCTGGGGTGGGCGTGGTCAGCTCAACATCACTTGTGTCGGCGGCACCTGTGGTATCCCTGGCAGGGCTGGGGGGATCCATTGTCTCCAGTGGCGGAAGCCTTCACTTCCCCTTCCTTCTTTCCTTTTCTTCTTTTTCCTTCTCTCTTCATTCTCCTTTCTTCTTCCTTCCCCTCTTTCCTTCTATTTCCTTCCTTGCTCTCTTTCCTTCTTTTTCTTTGTCTTTCCTCTTTCCCTTCCTCCTTTCCTGTCCCTTCTTGGATGCTCAAATGGAAAAGGGGAAACATTTCTCCTTTCGTTTTGTTTTGCTTCCAGGGCCTGTTTTTGGCCTGGATGGCCTCCTATAGCCCTCTGCCAGTGAAAACCAAGCCGCCGTGGGTCAGTCCTTCGCTGTTTCAAGGGCCAGAGGCCAGGTCTAAGCACCCTGTGAGCCAGATCCCCAGCCCCCAGGCCTTGAGTTTGACACCCCTGCTTTATTGCAACTCTGAACTCACTTCCTTGACACTAAGCGCCTCTTCGGTGCAATAGCTACAGTTACTTCCAGTTGACAGACTGCTAGAGGTCTATTGTGATACTTGAAGTATACTGAGCAGTAAAGTGATGGCCCTGTATTTTAGTTTATACTAACATTTTAAGTTAACTTTGAATAACCTCGACAGTTGAAACAAGTACCATATTTTTTGGAGTATAAGACGCTCAGGACTATAAGATGCACCTACCTTTTTTGGTGAGGAAAACAAGAAAAAAAAATCTGCCTCTGCCTCCCGACAATTCAGCATAGCTTGATTAGCACAAGAAAAAAAATCTGCTCCCAGCAATTTACCTCCTTGCAGCAAGCAACAGAGGCCCGTGCAAAACAGCTGAGAGTCGGGAGGCCAATCCAATCAACTTGTGCTAATTAGGCTGTGCTGAAGCTGAAACGAGCTGTTTCTTCTTGCTGCTTGCTGTAAGGAGGTAAACTGCTGGGAGGCAGAGGCCAAAGGCTGGGGGCCAGTGGGTGGGCGGGGCTACATTCTTTTACAGAGGAAAAAGGTGCGTCTTATACTCCGAAAAATGCTGTATATTTTCTTATTCATAAAAGATTTTTTTTGGTTTAATTATCAATTTATTTGGCTACAATTCAAATTCAAACTTTTATCAACTTGCATTATCAGATGAGCTCTAGCTGCTAATTTATTTCTATCTAGAAATTGCCTTAACAAAGATAGATTTGTCCACCATAATGTTTCAATATGCTGTCAAAAAGTCCTTACTTATCCTTACTAATTATAATTCTGCTTTCTGATTAAAACATTGATTTTAAATACCAAAAATGTTTGTGTATATTTAAATTTTAAAACAAAAAAGTAGGAAATACCAAATGAGGAGGGCATATTTAAACCCTGGAGGCAGGTTAGTCCATAATTGGGATATAACTAGAAAAGCATTATATTGTAGGAGATAACCAGTTATTCTGAGTATCCTCCTTTGGGATGAGCGAACTAAATGGATCAGTTCTACCTGAAGAAGGTCTCTAGGTACCAAGCCTTTAAGGATTCAGTAGGTTAAAATCAGAATATTCCATGTACCAGACAACCAGGTGCTGTCTGGAATCCATCTAGATGCATCAGATGCCTAGAGCGACCCATCGTAGTCTGACTTCCCACCATCTGGAGACTCTTGTAAGCAGTGACTCTCATAATAACCAAAAGTGCTGTCATCATAACGAAGATTTCTGAGAAGTAAACACTAAATTTAACATCTGGACATTGTGTGTATCACACCCAAGATTATGTGTGACATGCCCATGGTAGCTATAGACTCTTCTAAAATCTCCCTGAATCCACCCACCCACAGTAATTGAAGTACCTTATTCTAAAAACAGGGATTCCACCAATAGCCCCAAGAGGAGATCCAAGCGATCAGGAAGAGACTTGTAGCAAATTGTGCAATATAGTCAGACCCCAATTTAACCCAATGGCCCAATGTCACACTTCACAGTCCATCACCTCCAAAACCGAATCCCTGTAATCTGTAGGAATATATTCTAGCAATATACTCCTTGTTTAGTGACTACCTCAGTTATCTAACAGTAATAAAAGGTAATTAGAAAATCATTTTCCAACATTTGCACACATTTACAACCAAATTTTCTGCATTTGATATCAATGTATGCTAGGTGAAAGTAACACTGGCATAGCTGTATGAGGTAACTATCTGAATGAAATGGTGGCATTTCTATTTAAAGACCTGGTCATTGGAACAGTTGCTTAACAAAGGGGTAGGTGTAACCTTGAGAAACAGAAAGAAGATCTGCATCCAAGACGATGATCAGACGAAAGAAATGTAATTTCTTGTAAATGCATTTCAGATTTGACCCTCTCTAGTTCTCTTGAAGATAAAGGAAGAGAGTGTCAAGCCTGAGATGCTTTCTCAAGTTACATTTCTGCTTCAGTCTCAAATTTCTTTTGTCTGATTTGTCTTGGTTGTAACTCTTCTTCCTGCTCTTCAGAGTTATCCCTACATCACATTATAACCCCGACCACTGCCAGAATATCCTCAACAATTATCACTACCTTACATCCCTTGCTTTGAAGATGGAGGCAGGACCAAAAGCTGGAGGGACAAATTTTAGAGAGGCAACATCATCACTTTTTCCTAACCAGGACTGAGTAATACATCCCATGCGTGTTCACTCCAGCAAGTTGTGGACAAACGTGATCCTGATATTTCCCGACAGCTGTGTGATGCTGAGACCACCAGCAATCCAGTTACCTAGGCTCTGGGTTGAAGTTGCTGAGCCAGAAAAGATCTGTATACCTTCCCCTGAAACAATCTTTCCAGTACATCTTATCACTCAAGGGTAGCTCTTCTTCTGAGCCTAGAGCTGATCAGATACAATCCACTGTCCAGCTTTTCTCACCATTTGTCTGAGACACATCCATCATCTGGTCCCCAACTTCTTTCTTCACCTTCACCTAATCTTGTTTTGTCAGTTAAAGTCTTGGTCCACCTTCCATGTTGTCATCCATCTCCATTTAGCTACTTTTCATTCTTTAATTCCATTTACCCAATATTTGCAGATCAAAATTCATGAGTGACTTAGATCCCATAATAAAAAAAAAAGTTCAATTTTATGTTCAGTTTTCAAATTCATTTACCTTAAAATGGTGGATGTGGAATAATTAATCCACAACTTCTCCTCAGCCCAGTTAACTGTTCCTGCTGGCTTTCAAAAATTCAGTGATGAGCTGCCTTCCAGCTATTCCTCCTAGGAAGCAAAAACTTTACAGTAATCTTACATTTTACAAAGTGAAAACAGGTATACCATAATGGATAGTGACTGAGTATTGGGAAACCAACTCCTGGTTTGTTTGCTGGCATAAACCTCAATAACCCCCCAAAATAATACTTAATGGGGGGGAAATGAGCTACCACTTTCGTTTGGCTTAGTTTGGTGTATCTTTTTTAAAAAAAATACTAAAGTAATTTGGATTTAGAAGTGTTTTTATTCATAAACCATTTTGTTGTTCTGTTACTTTTTTCCCCACTCTCTTCATATAGGTTTCTGCATCCATGCTTAAGCAATTTCCTAACAGTGGTCTGAATCCAGGCCTTTTCAATATGGGGCCCCAACTTTCTCCTCAACAGATTGCTATGTTGAGCCAACTTCCACAGTTTCCTCAGTTTCAGCTTGTAAGTAGCTGTTCTCATATGATGGCTGACTGAATTTTCTTATCCCCCATTCCTGTTCCTGTACATGGGATGCACTTGAGATAATTTTATTGTGGTTGTGTTTTAAATATATGTTGTAGGAAATACATACATACACATGGACATATGCATATGCACATGCACAAATCCTTAGTAGTAATTTGATAATAATAGTTCAAACATTAAATTTGAAACAAGTATAGATACCATTAAAAAGAACAACTCTATTATGTAAAGCCTTTGATAAATTAGTATTAAACATCAGGCTCTTCTATGATAATGTTTTTAATTGTTTTTTGTTTTCTTTTTGTTATACAAATGTACACTATCCAATTTTAAGTTTGTACAAAGTAAACTAGTTTTTTTCCTTTATTCATTTGCATTGAAGGCCTGTCAACTGCTCCTCCAGCAGCAGCAGCAGCAGCAACAGCAACAACTGTTACAAAATCAGAGAAAGATTTCTCAAGCTGTACGACAACAACAGGAACAACAGGTAATGTGTGACTTGTGAAATCTGGCAAGTTAATCAGGAAAGATAATTATTAAGTTTTATTTTATCTAGTATTTCTTCCATGGAACATAATTGAAAGCCACACTACCTTTTATTTAAATCTTTTTAAATATTGTGAATACTTTTTCAATACTCAGTAAAACCAAGATCTAATATTGAAATAAATTGAACGTTGCACTGGTTTTAAGACTTACTTTAATGAGTTTAGAAGTATATAGTAATGATAATTACTCTCATACTCGAGCTAAGACATTCTATTAAGATTATACAGTAATAGATGTATTACTTGAAAGAGAAAATAAATATTTAATCTTAATACTCTTTCCCTTTCCTCCCTGTTTTTTTAGGTATCCCTCATTTTTTAAACAAAATGGCCTAGAATCTCATGAACTTGGAAAGTTTAAAAACTGTTTTAAACTAAGCTTTGAACCATAATCCTTTGTTTTTATTAAGATAATATACGAATAGGGATTTTTGATAAAAATCACACAAACTTTTGCTTTTAGGTTTGATACAAAATGGTCCAAAATACCTTTGCAACACCAGATTGCCTATGTCTGAAGTCAACCAATTTTTGTTTGTTTCCTTAACCGCAGCTTGCCCGTATGGTAAATGCCCTTCAACAACAGCAAAGGCAGCCAGGCATGAAACATTCTCCATCACATCCAGTTGGACCTAAGCCTCATTTAGACAATATTGTACCTAGTGGTCTAAATGTGGGTCTCTCAGATATGTCAACCAAAGGGCAGATTCCTGTATATAATTCAGGTAAACATTGTAAATATCCGTAATTTATTATTTCTATTCATCGTTACACAATAATTTTATATTGTATAATATTATATTATATATATGCTTGATTTGCTCATGTTGCTTCTTTACTGAAATTTGCCATATCGCATGAAACTCTAGCTTTGGTTTCTTTTTCTACTTAGCATTACCTAGCATTATATTTGCTAATCTTATTTTAAAATATCTTGCTTAATTTAGACTTTTTAATAAATAGTTTATTTGTACAAAGATGCAAACAGGTGATTTAGGAGATGCATCTTTATTTATTTATTTATTATCATATTTATATGCTGCCCTTCTCCCGAGGGACTCAGGGCGGCTCACAGAATAAAACAACCCAACAATAAGTAGAATTAAAATGTTAAAATCCGATTTAAAAACCTCAAATCCCCCAAATTAAAATGCACGGCAGATCAGGGAATTTGCTGAAAGAACCATGTCTTTAGGTCGGCACGGAAGGTGCGGAGGTCGGGGGCCCAGTGGGTAAACCATTCCAGAGGGTCAGTGCAACCACAGAGAACGCCCTCATCCTGGGGGCCGCCAGCCGACACTGTCTGGCCGATAGGACCTGGAGGAGGGCAGTCCTATGTGAGCGCAGTGGGCGGTGGGAGGCCGGTAGGAGGTAGTCCTGCAAGTACCCCGGGCCCATGCCATGAAGGGCTTTATAGGTGAGCACCAGCACCTTGAAGCGGATCTGGAGGACCACCGGCAACCAGTGCAGCTTGTGCAACAATAGTGTTATATGGGAGTAATGGGAAGCACCTGTAACTACCCGCGCGGCCGCATGCTGATGATACCTCACCCCGAAACTATGATGATCTCACCCAGTGGCTTCATGTAGATGTTAAAGAGCAGGGGGGAGAGAACCGACCCCTGCGGCACCCCACAAGTGAGGGGCCTTGGGGAGGATCTCTGACCCCCCGCCCAGACAAACTGTGTACAGCCCAAGAGGTAGGAGGAGAACCACTGTAAAACATTCATAGAGTTGAAAAACCTAATTAGGAAACACTTTGGAATTAAACTTCAGTTAATTATTGTATCCTGTGCAAGTTCTTAAATATTACAATGGCATTTTATATTGATACATTTATGGATATTGCCTTTTATAAATATTTAATTTTATGTGTTTTCTCATGAAAATAATGGTATATATAAGACAATAGGAACAAAAAAAAAAAGTCAGTAAAGGCCAAGAAAGCATACTCTGATTTCTAGTTAATGGCTGTATACACTATAACTTTCTATACATGATGTACCGTTATGATTTTTCCACAATATAAATACACTGACATATTTTCATTAGATTCTACCTGTTTGTGATACAGGTTATTCTATATATGAGATGTTTTGTATTCAAGCCCTGAGTAAGACAAAAGGTTCTATGGTTTTGGTTCCAAAGAATGTTCAATAAATACATGCTCCTAGTGAGGAATGAAACCTGACCTCTACTTAAGAATCATCTATAAACCATTGTGAGCTCTTCAGATGGAGACTAGAAAAAGATATAGGAACCTAATCTAGTCACAATTCAGAGTTGAAATCCCAAGAAATTCTCAGGATTTGATTCCAGTTTTACTTTTCGCTTCATCTGACTAGGATATAAGTTACATATAGTATGTAGATAGTGATGAAATGTGTTGGGTGGGATCAGAGTTTAAATTATTTCCTGCACTCATTACAGTACATATAAGTTATTCAAATAGCTTTCAGTACTCATGATAAGAATAAATCGTTGCAAGATTGATTAAAAAATTCTACCACACATAATTCTTTTAAAATTTTATTTCATTACTTAAAAATATAAATGATTAATTGGGTCGTTGTGCATGCAAAATGTTGTACGCCCATTTCCTGTCATAATAATGCAAATAATGCAGATAAAGACTTATATCTGAAATTCTGGGAATCCCTGCTATAGCCCTATTGAAAATAGCATAGTAGATGGGACAGTACTCTTTACTATTGATGTAAGAGTGGTCTCTACCCCACTAACATGGGAACACCTGGGTTACGTAGTTGTGTTTGCAGGAACAGGAAAGTCTGGTACTCCATGATTTACAACAGTTCATTTAGTAACCATTCAGTTATAACATCACCGAAAAAACTGACTTATAACCATTTTCACGCTTACAACCATTGCAGCATTCCCATGGTCATATGATCAAACTTTGGGTGCTTCGCAACTGATTCATATTTATGATGGTTGCAGCGTCCCTGAGTCATGTGATCCTTTTGCAAGTTTCTGACAAGCAAAGTCAATGGGGAAGTCAGATTAATTTAGCAACCCCATTACCAACTTAACAACTGCAATGATTCACATAAGAACTGTGGCAAGAAAAACCCGTAAAATGAGGCAAAATTCACTTAACAGCTTAGCAACAGAAATTTTGGGGTTAATTGTGGTTATAAATCAAGGACTACTTGTATTTTTAATGAATATTTGAACATAATTTTACTATTTCATTTTTTGTGTTCTTGAATTTTTTATGTGATCATAAAGTGTGTCCTTTTTTAATGTCAGAATTGCTTACATTACATTAAGGTGCAGCTTAGAGAAGAGAATGAACAACAATTGATTTATTTAAATGAGCAGATGTATCTAGGTTTCCTCATTAGCACTATCGCTATCATAATAGTTGCTCATACATGCATTTAAATACATTGCTGTTTTAAAGGTTTTGGTTCAAGTAGCATGGATTATGGCATGGTAGGAGGGAAAGAAACTGGAACAGAATCTCGTTTTAAACAGTGGACTTCTATGATGGATGGCTTGCCACCTGTAGCTTCCCAAGATGCCAGTATGCACAAAAATGGTGAGAAATTAGATTATCAGAAAGAAACTTCTTTTTGCCAGTGAAATACCTATTAGAATAACCTGAACATTCTATGATAGTGTGCTTGAGTCCAGTAGCTTTTGTTTAAGCTAGATCTGATTTTTAATAGATCAAACTTCCGAAGGATAAATTTATTTATTCATTTATTAAATGTATATTCCACCCATCTCGCCATCAAGCAACTCTAGACAGTAATAAAATATACTTGTAACATTTAATTCTACTTTCTACTTGTATGGCCTGCTTTGAGTGAATTTATTCCAGCTTTCATACGTATCCATGGCACAAGTCAGCTACATTTCAATGTACTGAATTACATAATAGCACTGGTAACAATATGATAACAGCCTCTGCTACCAGCCGGATCATTTTCTATCAGAACATATTTTTCTTCTGTTTTCCAGGGACAATTGTGCCCCCTGGAAAAGCCCGAGGGGGATCTCCCTATAACCAATTTGATATAGTTCCTGGCGACCCACTGGGCAGCCATACAGGTCCTGCTGGTGATAGTTGGCTACCAGCCAAATCCCCACCAACCAGTAAAATTGGAAGCAAATCCAGCAATGCCAGCTGGCCACCAGGTAATTTCAGTGTGCTCTATGAATGAGTAGATGGAAAAGGAATGATATCCTTGTTTATATGTTAACTTATTGTACAGTTTTGACTGTTGAGCAAACACTGTCTTTTGATTCCAAGTCTTCCACTATTTGACCATCTGAGTTTGTATAAATTTGTTTAAAGTTATAAATAAGCTTTTGTATAGTCAAGTTCGGGGAATTGTTTACTACAGTTTACCAAATTATTTAGTATTATCCCATGATACTTAGTTACAAGTTAGCTGAAGCTGCTGATTTGAACACAAAAAATAAGCTGACATAAATCTTGAGGCCAGACAAGTCATCATAAGGGAGAACAAATTTCACTAATCTTAATTGCAAAGGACCCAATTGTTTCTTAATGGGGCTAAAATTGTCTTCCTGTATTCAGAGTTTAGTTTTTTCTTTTCATCTGCATCATCTTTTCTGTGACATACTCCTTGATTCATATCTCTGTTACTGATTTCTTCCCACTAGGTATTTGTGCAGTTTATCAAATATACCATAATATATGTTAACTGCTCTCTTTTGGAGTGAACAATATTATATACAAAACACAGAAAGAAATATGAAACCTAATATATCAAAAATTGAGAGCTTTAAGAGCCAATTTGGTGTAGTTGTGAAGGTGTTGGCCTAGACTATGAGTTTTAGTCTCACCTTGGGCATGAAAGCCGGCTGGGTGACTTTGTACCAGTCACACTTTTTCCGCCAACTCGCCTCACAAAGTGATTATTCTGGGAAAAATAGGAGAAGGAAAGAGTATTGATAGGTTCTCTGTCTTGAGTTGTATATGAAAAAACAGCAGGATAATAATTTTTTTAAAAGGTCCTAGATAAGAAAACAGGGATATGAACTAGTTTATATCTATACCCTACATTTCTGACCTTACAAACCATCCTTGATTCCATCATGTTCATACACAACTGCAGACATTCTCTTTTGATCTTTTAGAGTTTATCAAACTACTCATCCAAAATAGTTTAATAAATCATGTTATCAAGGAGATAAAACATAGATCAGTGTCACTGTCTCTCAGCTCTAGGAAGAAGGAAATATCAAACTATTTCCAAAAATGTTTCCCAAACTACAAGAACGTGTCCTTCCCATCACCAAGAGTCAAAGGTGATTTGATGAATCATAACATAACAATATTGGAGTATCACCCCCAACAGTCAGCTCCATACATTCCTGTGGGGTTAGTTGATTCCAAGGCTATTCAAGTCATAAATGACATGTAATTTTGGAGATACCTGATTGAATTAAATAGTGGTGTTAACTACATCATATTATGCATATACACAAATCCCTCTTAAATAATGTAATATTTCTTTAAGATGTTCAGTAATTCTGGAAGGAGAGGAGAAAATACTTTGGTGAGAGTTTGTGGCATAATTGTGCCATCACATTTGTAATCAATTTTTTAAAATATATATATATATATATATATTTTATCTGTACTAATACAGATTTTTTTCAAACTATAGCATTTTGAGATAGATACATAATTCTGCTTATTGCAGAATTCAGAGTATTATTGAAACAGTATCATAAACACATTATTTTAAACAGCAGTATTTATTGTTTTGTTTCAGAATTTCAGCCAGGAGTGCCGTGGAAAGGTATTCCAAACATTGATCCTGAATCTGACCCTTATGTGACCCCAGGAAGTGTGCTGGGAGGTACAGTCACAGCCCCCATTGTAGATACGGATCACCAACTTCTGCGGGATAACAGCACAGGTTTGCAGGATTATAATACCTATTTTATAGTTGCTAGGATGGAGCCATGCACAATACAGGTAGTCCTTGACTTACAACAGTTCATTTAGTGACTATTCAAAGTTAACAACAGTACTGAAAAAGGTGACTTAAGACTGTTTTCACACTTATGGCCTTTGTAGCATCGCCATGATCATGTGATCAAAATTCAGATGCTTGGCAAGTGACTCATAATTATGCCCGTTGCTGCGTCCCAAGGACATGTGATCACCTTTTGCAACCTTTTGACAAGCAAAATTGGGGAAGCCAGATTCACTTAACAACCGTGTTACTAACTTATCAACTGTGATGATTCACTTAACAACTGTGACAAGAAAGGTTGGAAAATGGGGCAAAAAGCACTTAACAAATGTCTTTCTGAATAACAGAAATTTTGGGATCAATTGTGATTGTAAGTCAAGGACAACCTGTACAAGTAATAGCCTATTTGTTGGTTGACTAATTATGGGAAAAAGAGATTTATTTACTGAGAAGAAAGGTTTATTTGATTTATATCCTCCCTTTACTTATCCCAATTCAAGGTGGTATATGTAGTGTTCATTTCTCCTCCTATTTTTCCCACAGTAAGAATCCTATAAGATGGGTTGGTCTGAATGAGTGGCCCAAAGATTTCTGATGCTTTAACTTTTCTCTAAGTGCTGATTCTTCACTGCAGCTTCCCCCCCCCCCCTCTTATGTGACTAGTTTTAAAATACATTGCAAGGGGGAAAAGAGGGGAGAAAGGCTTGTCTGGGAGTGTGACATGTTGGCATAAGTGAAAAATTGAGCATTGCCATGCAAGATAACAAAATACAAACTGAAAATCTTGTTTTACCTCTTAACTTACAAAATGTAAATTCTGAGAATTGAAAGCATGAAAGCTGCTATAATTCTAATTAGTAAGGCATATACACACATGCAAACAATTTTAATATGTTATATTCAGTATCATAGAAAGTTCTTTTTCAAATTTGAAGATCACTGAGTTTTCCTCTCCTTTTCTTTCCATAGGGTCTAATTCTTCCCTCAACACCTCGCTGCCTTCACCTGGTGCCTGGCCCTACAGTGCCTCTGACAATTCTTTCACAAATGTTCATAGCACTTCAGGTATGTGCCTTTATATTTTCAACTCAAGTAAGAGAATAAAAGAAAAGTGGAATCTATCTATCTATCTATCTATCTATCTATCTATCTATCTAACCAACTCACAATAAAAATACAAAATTACGAGTAAAAGATAGGAGGGGAGGGAGCAAGATGTGCAAGGGGGTAGATGAGATCTACTACCGTGTTTCCCCAAAATAAGACCCTGTCTTATATTTTTTTGAACCCTGAAATAAGCGCTTGGCCTTATTGCCATGTGCTAAAAAGCCCGATTGGGCTTATTAACAGGGGATGTCTTATTTTGGGGGAAACGGTATTAGTCCATCAATTACCTCCAACATGATTTAATGGGCTGTTCCATAAAACAAAAGAATAATTGTTTGCTTACCAGTAATGTAATTAACTGATAGTATGTAATAATGAAGCTGGTAACAAAATAAAGACATTTAAGGAGTACCAACAATGAATACCGTTTACTTAACCGAAGCAAAAACTTCATCGCATCCCTTTAGCAAATTTTGGAAGTTGGAAAGAAATGTAGCCTGGAATAATGTACATGTTGGAGGATTGGTCTTTTTTTTTTTTGTGGGAACCTCCATCAAGTAAAAAGAAATACTGTACATATAATGTCTGTTTTCTCCAGATTTTCTACCACTTCCTCCAAAAAGCATGATGTGGTTGTCAGAGAGTCAGGGGCCATCTTGTTATGGAAGAAAATCATGAAGTAGCCAGAGACTTGCCTTTATTTTTTTCTTAGACAAATGTAGAGTGATAAAAATGACCCAGATGTGTTGCATCAGATTTTTTTTTAAGCCAAGCATTTTAAATAGTCTGACAAAAACAGAACTTAGTTTATGATGTATTTATTAATGACTTAATTATCACTTTTTCCTTTTATCCATTTCAGCAAAATTCAATGATTACAAATCAACGTGGTCCCCAGATCCCATAGGACCTAATCCAGCTCATCTCTCTACTAAGTTATGGAAAAACCATATTTCCTCAAGAAACACTACAGGGCTGCCACGCCCACCTCCTGGTCTGAGTAATCTGAAAACATCCTCTCCCTGGAGTAGCACAGCGCCCCGCTCACTCAGGGGGTGGGGTACGCAGGATTCAAGGCTTGCCTCTGGTGAATACTTTTTTTAGGATTATTATAAGCCAAAGAAGGGTGTATTAATAGATCAGATAAGAGATTTTTAAGTTTGTTCAATAAAAAACTACCTAATCTATAAAAATCAATTGAAACTTTATTGAGAAACTAGAATGAGAAAAAATCATGAGAATTCTAGAAATAATATGTAGTTGTAAGGAATAAGTATGTATGTGTATTTTTGAAGTAATCTGTGCAATCACACATATGAGTTTTGAAAACATGCGGAAAAAAATATTTTGAATACACACAGGTGCAAATAAAAATGTTTTGGTGGAAGCTCTCCATCAGCATTTAGTACTTTTATTTTAAAAACTGCTGACAAGAACTTTTCCTTGTCTTCCGAAATAATGGAAGCAAATGGATAATACCCAATGCACAGGAACCCCCCCACCCCATCCTCAGGTCAGAGCCCAGCCCTTGCTTGAGCGAATAGAAATTGTACACTACTTTCTGATATTGGATGTTAATATTTATTTTAATTTAATCTAATTTCAGCCCTACTCTTCTTGTTCTTATTCTTTTGCTGTAAGGTAGAAGTACAGAAAGTAAAGAAAACTTGTTTCCATACCTTTTGTGTAATGCTCGTGTGTCTAACCTTCCACTTTCCTTTCCACTGCAGACATTGTGCATTGCTCTTGGCTTTAGTAGCAATAGCTGCTGCAGTGATTTGTTAAGAACAGATCAGCAAGAAAGGATTGAGGAGCCTTGGTCCTTTAACTATTGGGTATTTGAGGTGGGCTTGCCACCAAAATAAGAAAGAAAGAAAGAAAAATTCTTTCAGCTAGCAGTAAAATGTTGTTAATATTGATCTGATTGCTAAATTCCCTGCATGTGATCACTCAGAACAATTGCAGCTAAACAACCAGTCTTTCTTATTGGCAAGTTAAATAGTTCCTATAAATATTAATATGTATTTTGTTTCCAAATTATAAATTAAGATGAATACAAATGCTTGCTGTTTTAATAATTTTGCAGCCTCTACTTGGAGTGATGGTGGTTCTGTACGTCCCAGCTACTGGCTGGTTCTTCACAATCTCACTCCGCAGGTATTTCTACTTTCATCCTCCTTTTTCTTACTAACTCTTGTACAATATTGTATTGTGTTTTTTAAAAGGCCATAGCCGTGTGCTTCAATATGACAATACTTAAAAACCGAAGAAATTATTAAGTGTCAGATTTATCACTGTTATTTCCAGTTCTGCACTCAGTCATAACTGCCAGTTTCTTCCCTCTTTTTTCCTTAGTGAAATTATAGAATATTTCTAATACAGCTGCCAAAAAGTTTTTGAACTTCTGTTAGAATAACTGCCGGTACATGCCTGATTTTTAACTCTTTATTATAACTTTATCTTAGGTAATTCCAACCAGTCACAATTATGCAGATTCCTTCCTTGTATGCATTTAAGAGTCCATGAACTGCCACTCAGTGTGAAAGACTGCTAAAGACCGGCTTAAATTAGGTCTTGTCACATGATCACAATCCAGGCACTTGATGTCTGATTTGTGGTTGCGATGGCACAGCCAGCCACTTTCACACAATTTCCAACATTCCCTGCCAGCTTTCCCCAAGCAAAGTTAATGGGGAAGCTGGGAGGAAGTCACTCCCTTTCTGCTGCTTTTTTGCCTGCCCACACTATAGTGCCTATCCATGGTACCGACCACCATAGTGCAGTACCCGCCTGCCCACCATAGTATCTGCCTAGAGCACATACTCCCCTGCCCACCTGAAGCTCTTATCCGTTTTCTTACTTGCCTGGCACTCCTGCCTCTGTGCTTAACAGCCCATACAATCCTGGGACTGTGACAGTAACAAGGACTGCCCTTGCTAAGCAATGCAGTCATGTGACATCATGCTTTACAGCCACATTATTTAATGACAGAAATTCAGGTCCTAGTTGCTGTTGTAACTCGAGGACTACATATACAATATGCTGCCTGATTGCTTTTTGTTCTGTATATTACTTTTAGTATGTTTGAAGATGAAAAATCCTCAGTCTCTTTATTTTAATAACCTGTCTTTGCTATTCTTTTTAAGATTGATGGGTCAACTTTAAGGACCATCTGCATGCAGCATGGTCCATTGCTGACATTCCATCTCAACCTGACCCAAGGCACCGCCCTTATCCGGTACAGCACCAAGCAGGAGGCAGCTAAGGCCCAGACTGCACTGCACATGTGAGTTTTACAACAATCTACAAACATTCATTGACTTGTTTTGTCAATATATAACATTCCTGGCTCATTTGTTTCATCTATGCATTCTTCAGATATGACTGACAATTGCAGAAGAGTTTATTTTTGAAAACTATTATTTTATGCATTTCTTGGAATAGAGATGGCCCTGGTATGCTGTGCATACTTGAATAGAACAGTGTTTGTAGACAAGAGAGATGGGTGAAACTAACAAGTTAATATTTGGCTTCCTTCTTGATAAAGTTTATCATTCTACAAATGCATTCATCCTCAAGATCACCAATTTAAAATTTAGAAAATTAGCAACACTGAGATTTTAATTGCCATTCATATAGAAGTTTCACTTGAATTAATTGCAAATCAAAATTAATGTTCTAGGTTTTCTCAGATAGGATAATATATTGCTCTTCTCACCACAATTGCAGTTTTAGAAATGCAATAGAATGTTCAAAAGTCACTTAGAACTATGAATTGGGATTTGTAATACTACTTTTTTCATAAATAGTTAGTATTATAGAATCAAAAGAGCCTTACTTTTTATAGAATAAAAACAGCCTTACTTTTAAACGGTTGTCACAGGGCTGTAAAGAGCAACAAATATCCATGATTTTACTGATCTTCTTAATGCAGAATAGTTGAAACATTTGGAACTTTCTCTATGTTTGAAAATTGTTTATCTAGGAAGTGATAAACTCTTAAGCAATATTATAGTATGGAAAATTGGTTGGAAATTTTCCTTCCTCATTAATATAATGAAACATTGGCAGTAGATTCAAAACTAAATGGGATACATCACACACTTTCTAATTAAGTTATAACTACTATTGCACTATTTAGTGATAGTCACTGGCTTAGATGGTATATGCAAGGAATTATGTAATTTAATGAACAGAAACATCTTCATACTTTTTCTGAATAAGGTACTGCACTTAGTTGAACAAGGAATATTGTATCTTGCTTATGTACTTATCAAAGGAAGCTTACTAGTTACTTTAGAAAAAAAATATTAAACTAGATATAGTTTGGTCTAGTTGAATAAAACTATTTTTATGCAATATTTTGAAAAGAAGTAGGGGACTATTTTGTTCTCTGAGGGAACCACTCTGAACTGTAGACAAAGTCCATTTAATGACCTTCTAGTAGTTGATAATTACTGAACAAGCAAACAAATTGTTCTGTTAATGATGTAAATTTTTTAAAAGGCTGAAATAGCATTCTCTATACTAGTTTTGAAATATTTTAGTTACATTTTAATTATACTAAGATAGTTTGAAATTAACAGAAATCCCCTAAGATTTTCAACTATTTGTGTAACAAATAGTCACTTGCTTATTTCCAATTATATTTCCACAGGTGTTTGTTTGTTGTACCGGTAATATAAATATAAGAAACTGTACTTGTACAGAGCAAAATTAAGAAGCATAATACAGGGGTGCTTGGTGCTCTTTGAGCTTGGTTGTTTTCTTGCTTATTTTCTCCAAACTAGGTAACATCATAAAGAGTAAAGTAAAGAGTGAGGTTTGCTCTCAGTTTATATTCTAGTCACTTGCCCCGTCATTGTTGGTGGGGTGGTCTTGGAGATTCTTTGGTTGGGCTGCTTATTGTCAAGTTATAGAAAAGACTAAATATCAAAACACCTCCCCATCAGCAATCAGCACCCAAATGACCATAGATTAACTCCAAGAGTAACATCAGACCAACAATCAAGTAAACAATACCCCAATCAAAGATCTGCCAAACAAGCCAACAGTAAGCAGCCCAGCCAAAGAACTTCTAAGACCACTCTCACCAACACTGTCATTTCAACCCTGAGTTACAAATAATTCTCCTTTATTGGAGCCGTAATACACATGCGGAGACTGACTATCCCACTTCTTCTTTACTTCCTCTTTTATCATTTCTGATGTCAAGGGAACTATTCCATTGACATCCCAACTAAAATCCCTAGTAGTGTATCACATTCCAGAAGACACCTTTATCTGCTGAAGTATCATTTTCTGGATGTAAAACCTGAAATAAAAAGCAAGGTAGAAGAGCTTTTTTTTTTTTTTTTTACAGAAGCATAATGGTCTGTGTCAGAGGTTCCCCAACCTTCTCACCTCAAAATAGCTTAATGTTTCAGTAAGTTTTTTGCAGCACTTAATGGTTCCCAAATAATGTGCTGGGTTACCTGGGGCACTGCAGTGCAGTTTGAGAACAAAATACTTGACAGAAACACCAAATTAAACTAATAGATACTAGGCTTAGTAGTAGCATGATATCCAACTGATGTTGAGTATTATGTTTTCATTGAATGTTTAACATATCCTATTTCCTCTTCTAAGTCAATTTTTATTACAGTCACAGACCAGTATTACAAATAAAAGCATTAAAAACAATAATAATAATAAAATAAAAAACAGACAAAATAATATATTACTATGAGTGGTGGATTATCAGTGGGCAGTTAGAATCTGCCTAATTTTGCAATCAGTAGAACAAAATTTAGCCACATTCAAAGAAGCTACTTCACATTGATGTGATGATAGCAGTTGTACATAAAAGAGATCAGTATTTCCTGGGTATTTTATTAGGTGAGTTCATTGCAGTGTCCCAAGATGCATTGGCATGCAGTTTGGAAACTGCAGGTCTGTATAATTATTTTTCTTCTTTCTTTTTTAAAGTAAGGTTTTGAGAAAGGGATTTAAACAAAAATAAATGATGGAACTCCAGCCATTCATATTGTTTATCACAATTGACTTATATGGGAGTAAGTGTGTTATTTTGTTTTGTTTCAAGCAGTGTTCAACATTTTTAGACATGTGAACTCTTGTTTGTTTGTTACTCTTCACTCTACCATTTTGGCTTTTTTTTTATAGGTGTGTTTTGGGAAACACTACCATCCTGGCTGAATTTGCAACAGACGAGGAAGTTAGTCGCTTTCTGGCACAAGCTCAGCCTCCTACTCCTGCAGCAACCCCCAGTGCACCCACAGCAAGCTGGCAGTCTCTTGAGGCAGGACAGAATCAGACAGATCCAGTTGGACCTGCTTTGAATCTTTTTGGTGGGTCAACAGGGCTTGGGCAGTGGAGCAACAGTGGTGGCGGCAGCAGTGGGGGTGACCTTGCTGGTGCTTCATTATGGGGGCCTCCAAATTATTCTTCAAGTTTATGGGGGGTTCAAAGTGTAGAAGATCCCCACAGAATGGGAAGCCCTGCTCCCTTACTACCTGGAGACCTTCTAGGCGGAGGGTCGGATTCAATCTGAACTTAAAACTTTCAACTCTGACCTCGTGACCTTTTTGGAACAGCAGCAGCACTAACGTGACCTTTTCTTTTTTTTCAACTTGCAATAAATACATTTTAAAAGGAAAAAAGAAAATGGAGAGAGAAAAAAGGTGGGTCATTGACAGGACCGTCTGAGCACATAGTTGCCTCCCTTACAACTTCAGTTTTTTCGTTTGGAATATGAATCCAAAAAGAGAACATATCACTCTTGAAATACTTGAATCATGAACGCCAACTTAGAAAGACAATGTGAAGCAAGTACACATACCATTTAAAACTAAACACAAAAAATTTAAAAAAAATTAGTTTCTAGTTTTTCACTTTTTCATGTTATACGGAAGTTGTTGCTAAGAAACATATATACTGAAAAATAGCTTTTTAACTTTGTTTGCACTGGGTGTGTTTCCGTCCTTAGGTCTACTATGTTGGGGGTGGGGTTCAGAAGAATTGGGGTGGGTTGGGAGGGAAAGACTTGACGGAGCCTCACTTTAAAAAACAAAAAAGGAAAAAAAACACTTTGTGATTGGCTGGTTGATATATACCAGTATGTTCTGGCACATGTAACTGCCTGTGTGTGTGTGTATCTGTGTGAGAGTGTATGTCTGCATGATTGTGTGTGTGTGTGTGTGTATGTATGTGTGCGCGCGCACATTTCTGTCTTGAAAAGCTGCATTGTTGTTGGTCAGCAACCTATCTGACTAGATTCTTAAACTGAATAATGATGGTGCCTGTTGCAAAAATCAAATTGATCTGTGTTTCAAATCTTATTAGTTGGTGGTATTTTAGCAGGGTATTAAGTGCACTACAAGTTGTGTTCTGACCCTGTTATAAAGCAAAACACTGCCATATCCTAAGGATTTGGTGAGAGGGATGCCAATGTGTGATTTTAGGGTTTCTGGGAAGGGAGAGGGAAAGAGAGAATGTAGAATTTTGTTTTGCCTAGAAGTATATTTTTCTTTAATAAGAGTTATTGGCAGAACCCAAGGTTATTTCTTACGAAAAGGCTTTTCTTCTTTTGGAAACCTTCCAGAAGAAAGAAAGCATCACATTTGTTTGTGACAAAGACCTATACAATGGTTGAAGCTTCTGCAATCCTAAAGAATTCACTCCTGAAGCCTGTATGAAGATTCTTATCCATTCATGGAAAACCCACTAATAATTCAGGCCAAAGTATATTTTCTTGATCTACTGTTATGACAGAGTTACAATGTCAGTAGTTTGCTGGCCTGTCACCTATTGAAAGCACATGCAGCAACTTTTGTTCTCTTTCCCCCATTGTGTTACCTGTGCCAGGCCTAGGTGTATTACAGCACCAGATCATCACTGACAGAAACGTTTACTTAAGAATGTTCTTAAACCAGTGTGTACTTTGAGCATTTTTTTTCTCTGTATTTTTCCATGTATGTCATGCTTAGGGTTTGCTTAGGCGGACATATAACTGGCAAAGACTTCTTTTGTTTATAAAGTATTGCACCTTTATTATTTTTACTTTTCCCTGTACTGTTGCTTTTTATTGTCGGTATTTAAAGAAAGGTGGTGGTGGTTGTTTCTTTGTTTTAAAAAAACAACCATTATAGTAGTACTCCAGGCATGATAGGGGAGACCTATCATTAATTCAAAAGATAGCCAGTGTCTACACTGGGAACAGAATTGCTTATTGTGAAGACAGCTGTAGCAAACATTGCCTTTATAGCAAAGGAGTTTTCAGGATGGATAGAATGGATAAAAACAAGTAGGGAACTCATTGCAAATATTCTTTAAAGTACTAGAACTTGGCTCTGGCTTTTCACTAGGTTTGCATTATACTGAATAAAAAAAGAAGTGCTGCAATATTCTGTACCAGCAAATACATTCATACTCCAGCACTTGGAAGTAGCAGATAATATTGTACAGTTTAAAAACAGAAGAATCTTTCTCCTTCAACAGTTTCATTGAACTATACAGTGGTGTGTCTGGTATATAAATAGAAGTGTTGATAGCAAGTTTAAAACAAACGTTCTTGCATTTATATCAAAAGGGAGATTTGCGAATTAATTTGGAATGTGAATTCTTTGACACAAAAAAGACGAAGGGAGTGCCCACGTTTATATTTGCCTGTTTCACTATCATAGTAAGTAGGTACACATAAGCAGGTGTTATGCATTTAAACTTTAAAATCTGCATATGTAGATCTTCAGCATTTTCCCTTATTTTGCTTTTATTCTACCTTGTTTGTGTAAGCAAGATCATTTTTTTAATCCTGCCAGTTATGTTTCCATTATAGCCCATAAACATGCCTGTTCCTAAAGCAACAATGCTCATTGCTAGACATTAGCTGTTTAAAATCATGCAGGATAAATTAAAAGAAAAAATTAGAAAAACATCAAGGTGCAGCAACTTATGGCCCCCAAGCATTTTCCATATGTGATATGACACACAAGCTGGTTTACTACTGTGTTGTCATTCTTTCCCAACCTGCCTTTTGATCCCTTTACCTGCACTTTGGATTTGTTGAATTCATTACAATATTATGGTGAAAGCCAGGTGCTAGAGCCCCTCTTGTTTACAAGACATAATGAGGGAACTGAAAAAAAAATTAACAAATGAAAAGCTAAAATGTTCTTCCATCACAAGCTTAAAGGGAAAAAAATTAAACATAAAAAGACCAAAAAGTGTGTGTGTGTGTGTGCATGCGCACATATGTGTCTATCTCATAAATATTCACACACACGCACACATATACACACACACTCATATATGTATGTATGTATATCTCAATGAAGATTAACTCTGGGAGCATTTAACAGTGTTTTGAGTTTAACATTTATTTTCCTGCTTTATCTTTGCAAGCATTCTCAGGAATTCTAGGGTAGGAAGCCAGTTTTTGAAGATGGTTTATTTAATCTTTACTTCTCCTAGATAGATGGCTTTTTCTTAAAATTTTACAAGTTCCTGGTCACACAGAAAATGCAAGGTTTTTTTTTCTTTAAGAAAAGCAAAAAATTGAAAAAGAAAACCTGACAGACAAATTCCACTCTTCAAAACTGTGGATCAATTTTTAAGCTACAACTCAATTCTCACATGTAGCAGCAAAAATTCATTGTATTCTTTAAAGTCCAGTTTGTGAGAAGATTTATACTTGTAGAGCTTAATCTCAAGTGGGACGGTATATGCCATTGAATAGGAGAGAGGATTGTGGATGAATGGATTATAATCATCTAGTTATTTCTCAAAGAACATAATCTTCCTCCAAGCACCTTTTTTTTAAAGAAAAAAGAAAAATTTTAAAATAAAAAAATGAAAATGTTACTTGATTATGTAAGTAAGCCACAGATAACAGGAGATGCTGGGAATAAGGGTTAATGCTTCCTGAAATCTGTTTTCAAATTGACAGAATGCTTCAGAAATGCTGCATCTTTATTATGTCCCAGCAGTGAAGCAATTTTAGCATGTGTGTGTTTTAAAAAAGGAGTGACTTTAAGAGAATCCCGTGAAATGTGCATTGTAAAAGATTTGGCTTGCATGATTTTAATACTAATTTTGAAGTTTGCTTTTTAATTTCTCTGCCAGATTTGTGTAAATTATAAAAAGTTTGGAATTTTGGAAGAGATAAATTAGCTGTTGTTGCCAGATACTGATATTCCCATGTTTTAGAATAAGTCTATTGCTGCCATGCTTAGAATGATTAGATTTTAGCTTCCAGTACCAACAGGAAGGGCTTAATTGGCTCGATGCTTTTATGTGGAATAAAATTACAAACCATTTTAGTGCCTTTGTAAAAACATCCATATATCCTACAAAAGGACAAATGCAGTCTAGTCACTCCCAAGGATATAAGTGATCCATTTTCTAAATTGAAATAATTGTTCTGGGCATGCAGAGAAGAAACCTCAAAGGCCTATCATTTTAAGAGTTATATGCACACACATGTATACACACCTGTGTTCGTGTGTTTTTATTGACTAAGGCAGTTTCATCTTTTAAAACTTCTTGTTTTGCAGTATTCTTCATATTCAAAAAACCTACTAGAATGTGTAATGAGAGTAACTCCCCATTACTATTATTCAGATTTCATATGATTTTTAGAGGCAAGTAATAAACACAATGATGGTTTCTCAATGTAGAGAGATAGTAAGGTGTACAGTAGTGTTTGGTAACATCAGTTGTTTTCTATAGCTATTGACTTGTTTCCCTCAAGTTCATATGTAAATGATATATCAACTGGAAAATAGTATGATGGGGCCTGTTGGGTAGTGTGTATGTATGTGTGTGTGTGTGTGTGTTAATAAGCTATCTGAATACTTAATCAAGTTTTGATTTATTGTTGACAAATTCTTCAAGGACAATTAGTGAACAAATCTAAATTTTTTAGAATATCTAAAATATTGACTGACCATTGCTCAAATTATAAGAGTATACACACAATTATATTACACAAAATATTTTTACCTCCAAGCTATGCATATGAAAGCTGTCAAAATTTTAAAGGTTGATAAACAATATTAAAGCCTTAGCAGACTTCTACCTTTTAATATATAAAATGTTTCATTTCTGTTGTGGAGGAGTAGGAGGATGACAATAAATTAGGTCTGCTTTGAAAGTTGCATGCTCTGTCTGACCAGTGGAAGTGATCTATTTGGACACCAGAAGCACCTAACCATATTCAAAAGAGATTTTTGTAGGCAAAAAGGAAATAGTGACAGACAGGAAAAGATAGACAGTGAGCAAACAAGATTTTCCATTAATAACTTAATATAAATTTTGCTACTTTCAAGGACTATGGAAACAACAATAATCAGGTAAAGTATTTTAAACTGTTTTGTGGGCCATGTTATTTTCATATCATTTAACAAAAAGGAGTCCAAGAGCTACAAAAGTTTCTGACAGAATTGCTGGTCTGTACTTCACATTTTAAAGCAAAGTATCACTTTATTTTGATTTGCATAAAAATATCCCTTTCACAAAGAAAGGGAAAAAGCTCATGCCACTTCTAATAACTTAATCTACAAAGCTCACTTAAAGCAGATTTTAAATTCTTATCAGTCCTGATATTTTTCCTTACTTTCTTTAAAATGTGCTTTTAAGCGTGAGTTATTTAGAATCTGGTTTTGATGAGTTAGATAGTAGGGGTTTTTTGTCTTGTCCTAATGAGATTTTTTTTTAAATTCAGGATGTTTATTTTAGAATTTTCCTCAATATAGCATCAGAGGAAGATATAACTCAGAAGAAGAAGCAGGCTTTCCCAATGCATCCGTACAGAATTGCTCCTGATTTTATAAAATTGTTGATTCCTTTTGTCAAGGGATATCTGAAAGCAGGTTTCTCCTCTATCACTTATCCTCGATATAGCTACTAATCTTCTTTATAGCACCCTTAACAGGAATTAGTAACCCATTTATTGTTGTATGATTGGACACTTTCTTCAAATTTTATTTTTGAAGATTTTTTTTAAAAAATAGTATAGGTAGATCTGCATATATAACAGAAGTTGATTCCTATTCAAGATGACATTCGTTTTTATTGCTACAGTGAAAGTGAAATAGTGTAATTCTGTCTTGCATATTTTAAACAGTGAACATCCAAATAATTACACACTAGTATATTTTTATAATAAGGGCTGACAGAACCCCAGAGAAGGTTCTATTTAGTTTAGCTATATTACTTATTTATAAATATACAACAAAAACATTTTATTCTTAGTACAAATTTACTCAAAATTAAGTTTAAATGATGCATTCTCAATTTAATGCACACTCTCAGGAGCATGCATTGATTTTAATCATACTTATTAAAGAAATTCCAAAAAGTCTTTGGAAAAGTCTTTGTCAAAAAGTCTAGTTGTTCGTGACATTCTTCATACTAATGTCAGCCATTGTGTGGCTTGATAGTATGCTAAAATCTTACTACGGACCTAATGTACAGAAGGAATTGGATCTGGCTTTAAAGTTGCAAATCTTGTTACATTAGTTTCAGTGTGATTTTATTGTAGGTATGATTAAATTTGTATTCAATTTCATTTTACATCCTAACACTCTTGCATTAATTTATGTATTCCAGAAATATATTGCAGAATTTCCTACTGTACTATTTCATCTCAAAGCTTTAAACCTTTTCAAAATGCAATAGCATTAGTCTGATCCCTCTGCAGAGATCATGATGTATTTAGACATAAACGTAGCATCTGCTAGGAACAATTCAAATCAAGCATGATTTTTCTCTGAATCATGTGCCAGCTATGGAATGGCTCAATGAGCACAGGAAAAGATACTACTGCTTTAAAGTCTTTCTGACTATGTGTGCATCAACATGAGCTCTGTTACATCTGCCCTTCAAATCTGAATCTGCAGCTTTAATAATTTTTTATTTGTTGTGAACATGAATAGTTCTAAAGAAAAAATTCAACATTGCTATAAATGTGGGCTGAAGTGAATTTTATGCTGAAGATGAGAACATTTCTAAAAATTACTGTTAAAATACAGACAAATAGTAACCAAATTAAATTATTTCCGCTCTATGTATTAAAACCAAAACAAATTTTTATCTAGATCTTCTGATTGGCAGGCCTCCTAAAATGCTGGCAGTTACCAGACCAACATAAGTGTCCTTTCAATGTTCTCATTAGGGGTGCTACGTTCAAGGAAGAAGCTCATCTGATTTGCTTGGGTTTACCCAGTACTGTAGATTTACCTATACGTGGTCCCTAGCTACAGCCATATGAAATTCTTAAGTCAAAATAGCTGGAAAATGTTTAATAGGCATCATAACGTAAGTAATCATAAATGCAAAAATGTCAAAATATTGGCATTGAATTTGTGCAGTATAAGAGGTATTTGCAAACCTCAAAATGGGCCATAGAAGGATCAAAGGAATCAACCTCAATTAAGAGCCAATATTGTTTCATATAATTGATAATGATGACTGCGAGGGATAATATACATGTATTGTATTATTTTTAGCCATAGAGTTGGAATGTTTTTACTTGAGTCTGACAGCCATTTATGTTAACATAAACCCATGCACTTCAAGCTATTGAAGATAAAGCATTGTCCTAGGCGACGTGTGAGTGTATGTGTGTGGGTGTGTTTGGTTTTTTTTTTAGATATATGGCTCTTGTGTGGAACAGAAGAAAGTAAAGGATATGGAAAGATGTTCCATGGATATAGAACAGGTGGGCAGTGTTGAGGGAAAGCAGTTTTTAAACGCTTAGTGCCTCATCTTAGGTATTAGTATATCAATCAATGCATTCGAATAACTGAATTGCTTATTTCTTACAATGTTTTGACCATAAAGAATAAATGGATTTTTCTGTATTTAAAGAAAAATACAATTTTTAGCTGAGTTCTCCTTATAGATTGCTTAGCTTGCCGAATGCTTTTTTTTTTTTTTTTTTTTTTTTGTAATGTGGTTGTGAATATCAAGTGCTTTTCTTATCCCATCCAGATTTACTCACCCTCCCTTTTTATAAACATGCAGAGTGTTCTGTGGTTTGGGCCAGAGGGGGCAGGGGAGAGAAAGGTAATAAAAAAGGAGACAAGATAGAGCAGCCTTACTTTAGGGACTAGCCTTACAACAGAGCTTTATAGTGAGAGTGTGCTGTATTCCAAATTGTGTAAGCCAAAAAAAATTTTTTTTAATTATGCAAAATGAGGTGTTAACTTCTTAAAGAAATATGAACCTTCTGAAGGTAGAATAGACTTTCACAAAATGATATATTGTGATGCTTCTTGCTGGGTCAGTAGGTTTGGGATCTGGGATATAAGCGCTTAACATTCCCTTGTGGGTTCTTCGGTTGTTGTTTTTTTGTTTTTGTGTTTTTGTTTTTTGTTTTTTTTATTTTAAAAAAGCAGTAAGTTAAATGTGGTATCATTGAATGTGCCTTTTTGAAGATGTGACTGTCAGCTCAAGATGAACTCTTGAGCCTGACAGGGAGTGGTGGTCAGTTTGTTCTCTTTAAAGGTCAAATGAAAGATTCCAACCTGCGGGTACCTTTTAATGAAAAGTGTCTTTTGTTGCTGCATCATCCGCAGTCGAATATTGCAGATGTTTCCAGGTGCAGATGGGTTGTAATTCACATAAATTGACATTATTTAGGCTAGCTCTCAGTTGGTGGTTGCATTTGTATTTGTATTATGTATCATTACATTTGTGTATGTGGCTTGCTTTAATTTTCCTTTTAAAGCACTGGAATATTGAAACGCAGTGAAGTTTGAGATACATTTATGCATGTAGAGAAGAAGGTATTTTGTAGCTTTTGCCAGTTATGTTGTAGGCACATTTTTGCCCTCTCTGTCAGTGTCTTGATGATGGAAAATAAAATCTACCCTATAATTTCTAGCACACTTAATGTTGCCATTTAAAGGAACAGGGTATTACACAAGAAAAGATGTTTTTAAAATGGTGAGAAAGAAGTGTTGTGTATTTTCTTTTTTAAAATAATTGTTTTCCTTGAAGCTGTTCTTAGTTAAACATGGGAATCTGCAGTGTCTCTTTTCATTTCATATATATTCCACCTCTTCTCTCCAGCTTAAAAGCTTGGTGTAAAAATCAAGAGCTGCTGTAGCCCCACTGGCTCCGTTCCCCAATGAAAGCTCCAGCAGGCTCTCTTCAGCTTCATTCAGGAAGACAAAGGGAGGAGAGATGCTGCAGCTTCCTTTGCTTCGCTCTCATTCCTCTCTAATGGCCTTGAAATGTATTATTATGCAAATGTGAATTTTGATACTAAACTTTAAGAAGAGGTTTTTTCTTTTTCAAACAAAAAGGTCCCATATGTGGTCAGCATTGCTTCTTTATCTTGTAAGTGAATTGTAAACTATGCATTCAATAAGAGATGGTTTGGGGGAGAAAGAGAGCCCTGCTAAACTGTTGAAACAGTTTCTGTGTCCATGGAATTCCCATTTACATATAGGAGAAAAAAGGCTGAGTTCACGGGAAGACTACTTTGATTGACAGGCAAATATTTTTAGTGTATTTAAAAATTATTCAGAAATAAATGATTTATGCCTATTACACAGGACTATGCATTCTTGCCATGCAGTGTTACACCAGAGACAACAGCATGACATGAAAAGTCCCCTAACTTTCTTCCCACCCACCCACCCCCTCCACAATTTATGACCATCTTCTTCCTCATCTTCCTTTCAACCTCAGGAAATCACAAATCAAGCACTATCTTTAGGGGTTTGTTGTTTGCTTTCCTTTAAAAAATGTCTTGGTTTTGAAGTTGCAATATACTTTTTTTTCTTTATGGGTTTCCATAACTTTTGCCCTTAAATTTTCCACCAGTTCCCATCACAGATGCAATTTTGAGTAGCAATACCCACCAGGAATTGCTGTAGTGTAGTATATATACTGTACTGGCATTATTTAATGGCTTGTAGTGATCTTTAAAATTGGGCTAATGGCCATCTGTAGATTAATACCACTGATAAATGGAAGACAATAATTGTAGTGATAAGTGGGAAATTTATATAGAAGTCATTTTATATTTAACTATTACTTTTACTGTCAAGTTACTTTAGAAGACAAGCATTTCACATGTTTACCTCCAAAATACAGAGGCTGCTTCCTGTGTTAATCGAGGTATGTTGTCTTGGGTTTGTGAACTTTGGTCTGCCTTGGTTCACTTGGCATTATCTTGGATGCAGTATCATAGCCAAGAGATTCTCCTAAAATTCAGTGTTTTTTCATGCAGTTTCTTTTTGTTGGATTTCATAGTACTGTATTGAATAATAGACTTGATCACACATTTTCTTGTGCATATTTGCCTTGCAGATGTCATCTGATCAGGATTTTACTCTGATAGATGCCTTTTTTTTTAAGAAAAAAGGAGAAAAGGTTTCAGCTCTTTGTTGCAAAATACCTCGTGGTGCTTATTCTCCTTTAGTGTAACCAGCCTTTTGAAAAATCTTATATTATCTTTAATACTGAGGTTATATCTTCCTGTAGTGATTTGAAGACCGGATTGAAAGAATAAAAGCCCTAATCCTGGCCTGTATTCTTCATTCTTTTTGCCTTATGCAAAAGTCACTTAAGTTTGCCTCTGTTTCCTCATCTGTAAAATGAGGATAGTAATACTTCTGTCATATAGATTTTGTGAGGATTGGGTTTTTATGAAGTGCTTTAAAGAGAAAGTACTTTTTATAAGTATTATTATATGGAGGTGTAATTAACAAGTTATCTTTTTTCCCATACTGTTCCTGAGAAAATGGGAAAAGACACTCTGATCCTTTACATTTTAAATTGTCACACATTCTGAATTATTTTTTACAGTTAAGGCAAAATTAAAATGCTGAACTTTTCATATTGCTTTATTATCTCTTTCTTATGTTAGAGCCTCCCTTTTGTGACTTGTGTGTGTGTGTGTGTGTGTGTGTATGTATATATATATATACATATACACACACACACACACACATATATATATATATAGAACATATACAAATGCCAATCTTTAATAGGTACATTTTTAAAAAATACATTCTTTCTTGAGTTTAACTATGTATAATTTGCCATCTTTTATGTATTCTATTTACTATTGCTTTTATTATATATGGGCTTTTTGCTATATTGACCATTCAATGGAATAGCGTTTGTCCTTTCTGTTGGGAGAAGAAACATCACTTGCAGTTTGCAAGAGGGTCACAAAATGACAATACTTGTTTGAATAATCTTCTTAAGGATGGGGATGCTATCTGACTTTCTTCCCTGTTTGTGTGGCTAAACATAATGCCGCCTCATTTCCAACACACACAAGCCATTGTATTCCATAGAACATGGAAACACGGTAAATTTCATTAATAGAAGCTGCTTGTGAAATGCCTTACAGCCTTCTCAAAATCTTTGGGACAGAAAGGGAAGAGGTCTGGGGTAAATTCTGTAATTGTCAGGGAGCTTTTGCTTCTTTTTTTCTCTTCTGATCATATTATTCAACTGTAGGCATGCATCTCAGGAATGTGCATATTGATCCCAGATGTTTGGATTTGAATTTGGTCCTCTTTGGTTCCATTATATATTTGTTCCATTGTATATTCTTCTAATTGTACGAATTCTTCTAATTATTCAGTCATCTGAATTTTTCCATCCTTTACTCTTCAAGAAGGAGCTCTGGCCGAAGCTGTTGTGATCAACAAATCTATAAAATCAGACTCCACATGATGTGGATGTAATTAAATGTGGAGGTATCCCCCCCCAAAAAACCCAATTGCTTCTCTGTTCAGTGTAGATTCCAATTTCCTAGTGCAAACTCCTAGCTTAACGTAGCAGCTTTGTTTTATTAATAACTATGTACTGGGTGGGGGGGGGAGTGGGACATGTAATATTTAAAATAAAAAAGCAACATTGGGTGAGACAGGACAAAGAAGTAGGATAAAGAAGATAAAAGAAAAAACTATTACAGCTTCCACTATTTAGAGAGAGTTGACATGCTGCTTTAATTTTAGCCCTCTAGTGGGGCTGTGTTTACAGAAATGATTAGGAAACTATTGATGTCCAATTTAGTAAATTTTGCTTCGTTTCCATTGAACATACCCTCTAGTGGAAAATATTTTATCAGAAAATGGAAGAAGTTAACTCCATCTAGCCTTATTTGTAAAGCAAATTACCTTTATGTCCAAACTATCTGGAATAAAATGGCAGCTTTTCTGCTTTGCACATAAATATCTAACTTGAAGGTACAGTTGAAATGCTATTGCCTAAAACACTGTCCCTTCGTGAAGCAGGCATAATAGTGGATACATGTATTGAGGCTCTTTGCAAAGATACCTATTAGTATTTTTCCTTATACTTGAAATAATGTACTCATCTTCTTTTGTCTGTTGGCCATTTAAACAGTGTAGGAAATGGGAATTAGGAAAAGGCACACTATATTATCGTACTAGGGTTTATTCTTAATTTCCTCCAGTTTCACCTTCATTTCAGTTTACTTTTTATCCCTGGGATTCATGTGGACACAGAAACTTGGCACTTTGTGCTGTTGCATGGCATGCTGCCCTCCCCTTCTCCCTCTCTTCTTTATTTTTAGTATAGTGGTACTTAAAATCACTGGTTCACTTAAAGACAATAAAATGTTTAAACTCTACTAATGTACAAATAAGCTGAAATGTTGCATTTATATGTATTTTGCCATAGCAGGGTACTGTATTTCTCATGCTGGATTTCAAACCAACAAAGGGTGGTTTTATTGGAGTGTAACAAGTTGAGGGTAATAAGGAATCGAGTCGTCGTCATTTCATTGAAATTGAGAGATGGTAATAAAACATATATTATGTTTTCTGAAGGTTGTTTTGCTTTTAAACAGCTTTTGTTTTTATTTTGTTTTATTTTATTTTTTAAAAGATATGATTGTATTATGTGCAACTCAGTTGCTTACATTATAACTACAAAATATTTTTGGGTTCCTGGAAAAAGAAAGACTAATAAATGTGTTTGGCTGCTAAGCATTTAAACTGGTGATTCCCTGTCTGTCTTTATTACATTATTAATTAGAGCTACATAATACTGTCTTACAGAATATACCTCTTCTGGGTTTTGTATCACTTCTACAAGACATCACACCTTTAATTTTTTATTTATTAATTGCAACATCCTGTTAATTACTGGCTTTACCTTCTATCTCAATCATGCAGATAAGATAAATTTCCAGTACAGCATCATGCAGGTAATGTTCTATAGTGAATCATTTGAAGAATAAGAAGAAACGTATTCTTATAGTGGTGTTTTAAAGTTTGAGAATCCTTTGAATTTTCAATACTTTTGCATAAATATAACTTCAAACATGATTCAAAGAGTTTCACAAATTTTTATGTATGTTTTATTGCTCTGTTTTTTATATATTCCTTGCCTTTCTACTCAAGCAAATACACAACTCTTCAACAGTAATTAAAAATACAAAATGATTTTTAAAAATCAATTAAAATCACAATTAAAGTTAATCAACAATTAAACATCTGGAAAAGGATAATGCATCTTTGCAGATTTTCTAAATTGGGGATGGGAACAAATATAACCTTTAGTAGTTCTTTAGAAGTGCCTGGATAGCAAGATTTCCCACACGTCAGGTAAATGAGCCTCTCACAAAGAGTATTTTCAGAATCTGTTAAATACTTGAACTCTGAGCCAATAAACTTTTAAATATTAGCACAGCTATTGTATATAGTGATACCTGAGGATCAACAGGTACTCCCTGACAAAGGACTGTCCTTTCAGAGGAAAGAATTCTGCAATTAGTGCTTGCTTCAAAAGCTGCTTTAGTGAGTTTTGAGCAATTGTTATTTTATGAAATACATTTCAGTGTCAAAGCTCTTCTAAATTCTACAAATAGATAGAAATGTCCTGAATGTGGTACTCGGGATCACCAAATCTACTTCACATCTTTGCCAGCCCTCGGTGAAAATTGTAAACTTTCAAAGCAGCATTTGGTGTAAAGTTAGTTGTCCCTATATAAGAGAGAAGGGAATTTTATTCCCATGTTAAAGCAAGTGGACTTAAATTTCCAGTCAAACTAACACAAAATTTCTTTGCTTTGTATGATTTATTCAGTGCCCTTAGAAATGTCCACATTAATTTAGTAGTGTCAGTCCTTCAAGGTAGAGCAAACTAGAAAATACCATTTTGTTTAGATAGAGGCTCTTCTTCCTATCATTAAGTTCATTCTCTTTTTCCTCAATGGAAAGTGACCACATTTTATTTTTTGTGTCATATACACTGAACTACATGTGGATTTTATATAAGTAATAGTATACTGAAATATTAGTATAAAATCCTGTTCTACAAGAACATGAATAGGAATATTCAATTTCCAGAATCCATTATTGGCTACATGATTTGGAATAGTTAACAACCATACAACATCTAAAGAGCCAAATTTCCCCATTATATACTTTAATTGAAAGAGGAAAGACTATATAACCTACAGGTGCGGATAAAAACAAGCATGTTATAATGAAGTTCATTAGGTGTTCTTGGACTGCTACTGCTATTTTCAACTTGATAGGGTAAAGCTAAAATTGGTCCAGGCTGCTTGGTGAAGAGAGTTGTGACTATTTCATGATTTTGCTGCCTGTCATCTCCTGATCATACATCAATTCCTTGGCTTATTGCATTGCTGCTGACTCGATGAAAGATAAGCTGAGCGTGACCTGTGAAGATCTCTTACCAGAATGAAAAAGCTCCTGTATCGCTTAGGACTAACGGTCCTAAGATAGGAAAGAAATTTCTGCATATTCTTGAAGTTCCAGCCGAAAAAAATCACTTCAAGAATCTCAACTATCTATTGTGCAAGAAAGAAATGAAGCAAGAGAGGAAACGGCAGCTAAACTTAATCCAGAACTCCTGAGAAGTAGAACCTGCCATCTGCTGAACAGAATCCTAAAATAACCTCTATGCTAACAAAACGCTGTAAGATTGCTTTATCAATTGGGAAACCACTTTCTGATCTACCCGTACTTCCCTGGCTGCTGAAAACTCACCACTTTGGTTCCAAGATGGCTTGATTATTTTTTCATCCTGTGTTCCAGGCATGGCCCTAGAATTCAACCAAACAGATCCTTAAAAAACCTATAGTAAATGTCCCAATTACGGGCACCAATCAGTATTTTCTCAATTATTATATAACTGCAATTTTTTAAAAAAAATTTATAAAAACAAAATTCACAATGTTGTAACCCTATAAATGTGATACTATAAGGAAATCTTAATGCTAATTAAAAGCAACATAATTTATCTTGGGAATAAACTAAAAGCCTTACATTTTATTTATTTAATTAATTATGGCTTCCCACTCCAGCAAATTCTTGGCAGCTTACAATATATAGGTTGTCCTGGCTTTACAACCACAATTGAGCCCAGAATTTATGTTGCTAAGTGAAAAATTTGTTAAGTGAGTTTTGCCCCATTATACAACTTTTCTTGTTCCATTTATTAAGCGAATCACTGCAGTTGTTAAATTTGTAACATGATTGTTAAGTGAATCTGGCTTCCCCATTGACTTTGCTTGTCAGAATGTCACAAAAGACCCAGGGACACTGGAACTGCCATAAATGTGAGTCAGTTGTCAAGCATCCAAATGTAAATCACATGACCATAGGGTTGCTGCCACGATTATAAGTATGAAAAATGGTCAGTCACTTTTTTCAGTACTGTTGTAACTTCGAAGGGTCACTAAATGGACAGTTGTAAGTCAAGGACTACCTGTATAATATTAAACAAACAATGTGAGAATGGGTCAGTGACTAGTAATACAACAGGACTAATACATAAAATAACAAAAGACATTTCAGAAGAGGGAAAATGAAATCTATTAGTAGGGTTCTGTAAGGCAAAATAGTTTCCTATGTAAGGCAGTGGTAGCTGAAAGAAATGTTGCAACTCTCCAAGAGACATTAGTGCTCTTGTCTACCCATAAGAAGCAAACAAAATTGTTCTCAAAACAAGTGAAACTACAGAATTAAAAGAGTAGGACACAAGATGCTCTAGAAACTGTTTCTAAAAAATATATGGGCTAGGAAATTTGGTTTTTCCAAGTCACATAGACAGGTTTGCATTGCAAAAAGTTTATTAGACAACTTCTCCAAAACTGCAAAGGGCAAGACATTAAAGCTGGCTAAGGAAAAGGTTCTGCAGTGGATTGGGAAGATAATGATGAATAGTTAAATTGCTGGTGTGAAAGGTTTCAGATTTATATATTGCCAGTGTCTGTCTTAATTTATCCTGCTTTACCTGGAGTGTTACGCCAAACATCCACAGACAGACAGTGACTCTAGTTCTCAATAACCCTATACTGGGGGGCTGAATTTAAGAAGACAAACACTGGCATAAATTATTCTGATTTTTGCTTTCTAGGAGGAGGAAAAAATATCCAGAATGATCATGGCAATCAGGGAGTCCCTAGAAAAATGGAGCTTCAGCCAAATATAAAACTGGCATATGCAAGCCTTTGATTTTAGCAGAATTATCTCAGTTTCTATTTGAAGTGGTGCATTTGTGGCTCAGGAAGGTATGTAGAATAACACCCCTAGAAATCTGGATTCAATGATATCTAAAGGCTTTTACGTTATTGTGCACACGTATCTGACATAAGTTTAATAGTAAATAATTGTATGGCCACAGTTATGTTTTTAGTTCTTTAGGTGTACAGAAGAATGAATTCTAGTCTATTACATCACCTCCCATCATCAGAAGAACCTCACTAATCTTCCTCCACTAAATTTCATGCACTTATTCTAGGTCTTGAGTACAATATTTTTGAGTTCTATGAGTAGTACAAGTACTATAAGTGATATTCAGAAGTGGTCAAGACATATATACACTAACCATTTTGGATAATCCTGCACTGCACTCATACCAAGTGACTTCTAAACAACTTAAGAAAACCCTAGACTTGCAAATTGTTAAATCTCAACTGCAGGATATATATCCTCTAATTCCCTGCTGCTATGACCTCCACATTTGTATTCTAGAAAAGCAGTGGCCAATCACTTTCTTTCCTATGCAGTTCTTTTTGGACTTGGCTTTTCTTCAACACACACACATACACAAAATTGCTAAGTGTATGTTTACAAAATTAAAACGTCAAAATGCAGAAACACATGACCACAGGGGTGCTGCAGTGGTTGTAAGTGTGAAAAATGGTCATAAGTCGTTTTTTTCAGTGCCGTTGTAACTTTGAACGGTCACTAAATGAACTTGTACAGGATTGCCTGTATTTCTAATGGGTTAAAGATGAGAGGAAGGAAACTTCATGGAGAGGCAACAGTTGCCCGGGTATTTTCATATGGTGTTCAAAGACAAGAGAGGAAAAAGAAACCTCACTCAAATGAAAACATATTCCCCAAAGACACAATTTTATCATCGGCCTTAAGTGATAGTTGATATTTGAAGACAAGGAGAAGCATCTCTCTTCAGCAAACAGGGATAGAAATTCAGCGGATTCTGAATTTATCCTTATTTCAGGGGAAATTTGGCAACTTTAAGATGTGTGGACTTCAAAACCCAGAATGCTGGCTGCGGAATTCTGAGAATTGAACTCCACACATCTTAAGAGTTGCCTAATTTATGACAACCACCGCTTTATTCGTTTCCTCGCATCCCAAAGCGTCCGGGAGCAGCAATACCGATCGCGGCGGCGCCCAAGCACCAGAGGTCGCTGCGGCGGTCGCTCATTCCGGGCCAATCTGTCGCCATGAGGAAGGGGTGGAAAAGGTAGGCGGCTGGGCCAAACGGAGGCCGGACTTTGCTGCACTTCTTATTCCGACCTTCGGCGGACTTCAGTCTTCCCGCTGAGCTTGCGATCGACGAGTCTTCTCAGCTTCAGCCCGTTCCGATGGCTTCTCTGAATCCCGCCGGCGAGGAAGACGCCTTCAACCGCTACCGCTCCCCTCTCGTCTCCCGCTATGCCAGCCCCGACATGGCCTATAACTTCAGCGAGAGGAAGAAGTTCAGCACCTGGCGGAG